TATGCATTTATGATTGCATGTGACATTTGCATGACGGTGCCACGCCCACCTTTCGCCTGTCGCCTTTCACCCGCCCTCCGCATTTCACTTGTTGAACAGCTGACTTTGGCTTAAATCGGGATTTCGTTTCCTCTGGGGTCTCTTGAGTCGGAATTGGAATTGGAATGGAAGTCGGACTTTGAGCGGAGGATGGTTTTCTCCCGTGGCTTTTTGGTATTTGCACGACACAATCATTAAATAGCCATGGCCAAGTGCTGACAACCACAAGTACGGCAAAAACAAAAACAACAAATTACAAGCTCACATTGTCAGAGTTGCACTTTAGGCGACATAAATTTTATGTACGTCGCCATGACAAGGCAAACAAAAAAATACGGCAAAAAGGCGATCGCTTTGAGAAGCACTAAGTTCTAAATACCCTTAACACTACAAAATGTACAACAATTTGAAGTCTATTAAAACTGAGTATTTGTTATACCTTTTTCATTAATTTTATTACATTGTTAATACACGATTAAAATATTATTAAATTATTATAATGCTTAAATTGTGGTATTTTTATTTTCATTATATTTTCATTCCGTCATTTCTAGGTATTTGTTTATACAAATGATTTATTTTAAATTGTTTCAGATACTTTAACAACCAGGTATACAAATGTGGCTTAAAGATTGGGTTGAAAGTTTCAAAAACAAAATCGTTTACTGCTTTAAAATATTTATTTTAAAATTTTTAGCATAGTTGAAATGACTGTAGTGAGGGTATGATAAAGAAGACTGAATTCAGTCCAAGAGCAGCAGCAACAACAACATCGGCAGCCAGGAGGTGTCAATGTACAATTGCAGCAACAACAACAATGGCATTGGGAACAAGGAGCTGGCACAACAAAGAACCCATTGTTGTTGTTGTGCTTTTTGTTGCTGTTGGTGTTGCCGTTGATGTTGCTGTTGCACATGCCAAATGCGGACAGAGACACGACGCCAAGGAGCCCGCCGCACGGGCACAAAGCTCCTCATGCTTCTAAACACTCAGAAAAATGTAGAAATTTTTAAACAAAAAATTTATAAATATTATGACAGTAAAAGAGGTGCCAATCGTCTACTCAAAATATCCACTACTTAGTAAGAAATAAATAAAATCACATAAAGTAGGTATGTCGAATTTTAGGTCTTTTAAAGTATATTCAATTAATAATATTATTGTTGAAACAATGTCTTTAAAGAAATATCATTGCCAAGCTTCCACTAGCCCAGCTTAAATTTTCATTAGTGTGCCACTAGAAAGTGACATTATTATAAAAAGAAAAAAGAAATATTACTTCCAGTGCAGCTGAAAAGTCCTCATTTCCTTTAAGCGGCTACAAAGCATTTCTCACTGTTCTATTGACACACGCAACGCTCGTCTTGGAATGTTGCCGCCGTTGTCGCTATCGCAGCGGCTTGTGTAATTACGCGAGTCGCATTAGCACAACAAATCGACCCCACAGAGCTGCATTTAATTAGTGGCTCAGCGACTTGGACAACGACAACGAAGACGATGGCAAAATGGCAAACATGTCAGGCGAAATTGTTGGCATAATTCATAATTGAACTGCATTCGTGGCTGCCACACGCTCTCTCGCATCCCCAGCCGCATCCTTGGTATCTTTGCCAATTTGGAGGCCCAACTCCGCTGGCTTTGATGGCTACATAAATTTTGTGATAGGTTGTGGCGCCCAACGTGGGGCCGTGGTTAGTGTTTGTCGTGCCTGGTATGCAATGTGCCGCACCGCCCCTTGCCTTGGCTTTCTGCTCTTTAAACTACCGATTTTATACTCTGCCAGAAGGGGGTATCTACGAACGGAAGTTGGCAGATCACTGGAGGTAGAAATTAGGTCTGATTAATAGGATTAGCGTAGAGGAACAATTAAGAATAGTTATCAAATGGATAACTACCAATTAGTTTAATAGCGAGTCCTAATGGATTAATTTAATACGAATTCTGTAAAAAATATTAATGACTTACCTCAGGAAAGAGTTAACAAGAATTCTGATGCTACTAATGAAAATTTCTTCCTACACTATTCGATTGTTCGTGTAAAACTCTCAATTTCCTTTGACATTAATCTGTAAAAGAGTATATAAAACTTCAAATCCTGCTGCCAGATTTTCCAACACTTTGTGCTCGCTGCCATTGTTAAGAGTCTTTTAAATATTGTAGCCTCCTGTGCACTGGGCGCACCTACAACATTCGGGGTTGTATAAGCGGCAGTACCGTTATTTCTCGCTCTTTGGAGTTGTTAACCAAGTATTCCATTACCACAATTCACATGTCGGCCCAAAAGACCACCCAGGTTATTGTTTCCGCGACTGTATCTGTATCTGTATCTGCGACTGTGTTTTCGCCGGGTTCAAAGACTGTTGACATTCGTGGGTTATTGTTATTGCGATTTTTGCGGCAACCACATCCGTTTTAGTTGCATGTTGCCATTGCAATGCATTGCAGGCCATTGATTGACGTAAGCGCTTTAAAGACTTTGTCAAACGGGGTCCATAAAGAACCGACCATGCCGTTGACTCGGGAGTGCAATTTGCCATAGGGATTGGGTTCTGCACCGAAAAATATGAACAAGCCAAATGGGAAACTAAGGACCGAGGAGAACAAGCCCAAGCGGCAGACATGAGACACCAACACTTCATATGACAATCAAACTTTGTCTGTGGGAAGCCAACGGGGGAAAAAACTATTCCGAACGATTTAACAATGAATTCTGCAACAAAATCTCCATGAAAATAGATAGAGACGAAGGCAGACAGACGGACGGGAGGATGAGGTAATGGTGGGAAGTAGCATATAACCATAATATCAATTTCAATAAACTAACAAGCAAATGTGCGAGATGTGAGCGGAAGCGGACTAACACAGTCCGGAGTACATAGGAACTTATGGAGCGCACAGAGGATGTGGATGCGAAGGTTGTCATATGGCAGCAGACACACGGACAGGTGCCATAAAAGTAAATTTCAATTCCCAGCGAGCGAAGGAATAACAGACTGAAGCGAGGGATATTGAAAAGATTGGGGATATGAAAACAACTTGGCAATAAGAGATGCCAAAACTGCAACCAAAAGGTGTCCAAATGTTTGCCAGATGATTGCCAAGTGGATAAAAATCACTCTGGTGTCTTTTTAAAAGGAATCGAAGGGTCAACAATCAAACATGTAAAAAAGAAGAACTACGTTTATTCAATTTTTAATTTTTTAATGAAATCTCTTAAAAATATGAACAAATTATAATTTTACCTCTATAGATGTTCTTAGCAGCCGTTCAAATTTTTAAAGCATTTAATAGTTAACTATACCTTTATATAATTTTTTAAAAATAAAAGTATAGTTATACTTGTTTATTAAATTTTTCAAAAATATGTACAGTTATCAAGGAATTAAATGGATACCTTCTTATCCATTTGTGAATAAAACTTACGAAGAGTTTAACTTTAACTTTGGTAGCTATTTTTGAGAAAAGAACATAATAAACTTCCCCTGCAGTTGTTTTTTTCCGTAATGTTCTATGCAGTTCCAGTTTCGTTGAATGGATAAAAAGCCCTTTGCTTACCGCCAACAAACAGCAATAAAATCCAAACTTTTTGGTGAAATTTATTGAGCAAAACTTTAACTTGATTCGAGACAAAGCAAGAAGCACAGAACTAAGTCGGTGTCTTTGTCTTCTTCTCAACGAAGCAAGTAACTTCCCGGTTGAAAGACGCACAAGAGCGAGCTATGCAAAATGTTGTCACTCCGCAGTTTGCAGATATTTGTAGCTTATTATCCTTGTAGCTACAACATGTGGATGCGTTTGCTGTATGACAAGTCAAATTAACATGTGCGACACAATCCGCACTCTCTTTTCACCCAGAAAGGAATCCGAGTTGCAGTTCTTGTTGTCATTCGACACTTTGCAAAACTTTGCTCGGGGTGCCGGCAAGTGTCAGCACATTTGTGACTCCTCATCCTTGGCCAAATTAATGCCCGGCCAGCATAGCGTATACTTGTTAAATGCAGAGCAGCATCGCAGAGCATCCAAGAACATCTCAACAACTGTCGACATTTTCGCCTCCAGCAGTCAGCTTTTCTTACACCACCGCCCTGTGATTTTCCACCCTTTTTTGCAGCCCCTTCGATGTTGCAAGTTCCTTTGTTGCACCATCGTCATTGTTCATTGTTTAAAAGTGGGTAAAGTGGTGCAGCACAGGCTGGAGAATAATAAAAACTGATGCAGAACGAGACCTTCGGGGCAAAGTTAAGGCCTCCTTAGGTCTATTCTTCTTCCTTTCGTTCCGATTCAACCTTAACCCACATTCCGTTTCAATTATCAGGCACACCACTGGAAAGCCGAAGGCAGAAACCAGAAAAACCACTGCCGAAAAAGCTTTAAAAATTAATATGCTGAAAATCTTGAAACAATTTGCAAACTAATAGCAAAAGGCTTAAAATCGCATTAAAACTTTCAACCAAGAACTATCGGCACAGGCCACAGGCAACCAAACACGCATATATAGTTTTATATGCTCACAGATTCAATAAGCAGCAAGTTGTGGGCACAAAGTTTGCAGTCAGAAAGGCTTAAAGCCTTTCGAAAGTGGCAGCAGCTTAAAGCGAAAACTTTTTGCCCCAGGCGAAAAATATTGCACTGCAAGAATAAGTCAAGAAATCATCAAGGATGCCATTAGCATAGCGTCCAGAAGTGACCGAAGTTCTTGCCCTTAAGAGTGGATTCTTGGAAGAAGTTTGGTTGGTTTTTTTTTGAAGGGGTTGCTAAAACTTTTAACAAGCTCTTTACATTTTTCTTGCTCTATGCTGGAAAAATAAAAACGCCAAAATGGACTAATAGATCATTTCGTTTAAATCTCTATGTGGAGAGTTTTTTGTATCAAGAAGTTTAATAGACACAAATTCTAATTTTAATACACAACTATTGGTTTGGATATATTTTTTATATGCAATTTAATTATTTACATTTACAGATGCATTGAAAATTAAAGGACTTAGAAAATCATATAGAAAACAATTCCATTATTAATGACCATGCAGGATATACGCCTACGCCTGGAACCACAGCACAGTACAGCCACGTTTATATCCTCCTCATCTGCCTCATCGTCCTCATCCCAGACAGCTGAGACCACGCTGATTGAGACAGCTGTGAATTCGCCAGCCAGGTGAGCAAAACAAGAAAAACTCCCTTAATCTTCATCTCAAAGTTTCCCTCCCCGTAATCCTCGTGCTCATTTGTTAACCGCAGTGAAGCAGCTGCTGGAGCAGTGACAACGACATCGCCGCAGCATTACTTCCATCATCATCATCCGCCGACGCATCCGCATCCGCATCCGCAGCCCCAGCCCCACCAGCAGCAACATCCGCATAGCCACTCGCATCCGCATCCGCACCTCCAGCGTCGTCCGGTGGAGCAGTTGCATCTCCTGCACAGCCACCACGATGTCCAGGAGCTGTCTGGACAGGAGCATCCACATTCACATCCGCACTCCAGCTCCGGCTCCGGCTCCCACCCACATCCGCACTCGCATCCGCACCATCTGCGCTCGCCCAGCTCCGAGGAGGATAATTCGCCCACTGAAATGAATAATTGCCGTCGTTTGGTGGATAAACCGCCGCTGGTAAGTCCTGCGAGGGTTCACTGTAAGAAATACATTTTTTTTTTGCCAAGAATATATCAAGAGGAGTGATGAGTGCTGTAATAATAATTCCTACTTTAATTTCATTTAAATACAAATTTGCATCATTAAAGGGAAGAAATAAAACAAATGATAATATTATTTGGAATAGATATTTTTTAAATTACTTGCTTATGTTTATAACCTATAAACATTTTTAATTGAGGCTTAATTCGTAATCCCAGCTTCATCTATAGTGCATTTTCCGTAATTCCTTCTATCAAAAGCTCCTTTTCTCCTCCTCTCTGCTTACCAATTCCGCTGGTTAATATTAACTATTAGCCAAGGTATTGAGGAAAAAGGCGGACGAAGCGATGGCAGTCGAGGGAGCAATCATTTTTTGCTTTGTTGCCAGCTTCCTTTGTAGCCTATTTCTCATTGCTTGCAAATTACTTTGCACAGAGCATAAATCTGCTTACGCTGATGATTTGCCAGGAAACAAGAGGGGAAACGAAGGGAATTACCTATTGGAGGAGCATCGGCCTGGGATGCACTTAATGCCAAAGAAATGCCAAGCGACAGAAGAGGAAAACTTCAAATCGAGACAACATCAACAAAATTTAAGAACTCAGGGAATTGCAAAAAATGAGTGGAAATCCTTTGGTCGGAGATTAAGTGTAATTCGGTAAAGCACTCGATGTTGCTCCTAACTCAAGGTGGCTTTTGCCATTTTGTATTTTAAATTTTCTTAAGCTTACCTTAAAACACTTGGTTAAAATTGCGCTGCTTGAATCGAATTCAAAAGCAATTGCTACTGGAGTACGTACTCCACTGGGAAAGTGTTTTCGCCACTAAACCTGCAGCCGAAAAAGAGTTCATTAAATTAATTTGCGCAAATGCAAATTTTCGAGTAACGGCACTTTGGCACGCGCCACTAGCAAAGGTGCACTAACTGCACACAACTAAAATGGAGCAAAAATGGGAGTACACTGAGAAAAATGAAGTGAATATTGTGGAAACTGAAACTACCCTAAAGGATCTCAAAGTACTCAAAATAAGATTTCTTTATAAGATTTAATTCATAAAGAATTCAATTGAGTTGCTTAAGAAATTCGATAAGGGAAGATTGAATAAATCTCTAAATTTAACCTCTGAATTTATATACAAGTTAACTTATATAAAAGTTAATATTTATCTTCTTATTTCTTAACTATCTATATATTTTTTTAATGCTACCCAAAGCATAATAAAGATATTAAATTTCATACTCTAATTAAATCCGAAACATACATATAATTAAACTTCTAAACTTTGGCATTTAAATTAACTAAAACTTCATTGCAGTCTATTAACCCTAAGTGATTACAGTTAGCTTCACAAACTAATTACATTCTTCTGTTGGCAGCAACTCAAACCAAATCCCCATTACCATTTAGCATTTATATAACTTCTTGCTACTTAAACAATTTTATGGCAGCGCGTTAAATGCTTCCCCATTTTCCTATAGTGCAGTTTGAAGTTGGGGAATAGAAAATAGGAATCCTTGGGAACAATGCAGAATGCAGGATGGCTGGCAAATGGCAAATGGCAGGCGAATGCCGTTAACTTACTGACTTTATGACACATAAATCGCAGCAACAGCGCCAAATGCATCCGACAGCCAGTTGCCGGTTGTCACGTGTTTTTAGGCCTAGGGAATAGCGAGTGGAAATGGAAATGGAATCCTTGCCAAAAGGACAATGGTACAACTTTTCTTTGGCGCCGCACGAAAGTAGGCAACGTGCAAAAGTTTTCCACAGATAACAAGGCAAGGAAAATGCGAGAAAATCAAATGGCAGAAGGAGAACCTCTGCTGTGAATGCTGCTTAGACACGTCTATTGTGCCATTGTCTGGGAAAAATACCTTGGAAAATTCCACCACCCCTCCTCCTCCTTTGCTGCATTCTTTATAGTCGGGATTTGTCTGGCAGCTGGGAGTTCGAGTCCTTCGGGCTGCATTGCATAATGCGTGGGTGGTTCCCCAGTTCGAGTTCCCTTCCGATGCCATTAGCATAATGGGGGCATTAGGTTGGCACGCTGCTCTGATTGCATACTTAACGACAGCCAAGTGCCAAATGCCGCCAATGCGCCAATTTAATTAGCTGCAATCGAATCTGTAGGCAGCCTGAATCGATCGAAGAAATCCTCAATTCAACTCGAATGCCGGCCAAGTAAATCGCCTTTCATCTCCATAAAATCAACATAATTATCGCAAATTACGAGGAAATAAGCAAGTCCAATTTACGTTTAGGCTGCTAATTACGCAACGCAATGGGAAAAGATTTAAAGCGGCAAGGAGCGGAAGACCCAAAGGCAGTATCAGCGAACGTCAGAAACTTTCAGCCATTCAGGCTCCAACTCATTTCAAAGTAATTTGCCGCAAAAGCCAGCGGCTGGCGGGTGGGCGTAGTGCGGCCAAAAGGGGGCGTGGCAAGCACTGTTTAACATTTTATTGGTAACCAAAAATTTTACACATCAATCTCGGTTGCTTTTTTGGTTGAGGGTGGGATAAAAGTGGTAAAATACCAAGTGGGTGGCTGGGAGTCGGTACGTTGTTGTGGTTCTGGCCGTGAGAGCTAAAGTGTGTTTGATGTTTGTTGGATTTTAAGGGTGGGAGGGGATGTTGGGGGCGGGGCACAAATCCCTGAACGAATGCACACCTGCCCCCGATACTGGTCAGACAACAGAAGTCCCGAATTCGCCATTATAGCAATGCAAAAACTTTGCCAAATTGGCAGACAACATGCAACATGCAAAATGTACGACTAGCCGTTTCAGCACTGAAAGATAATTAATAGGGGTTGGTGGCCCCAATCTACTAAAATAAAATAAAAAAAACAAAAAAAAACCTCTAAAATGTATAATTCAATATTTTAACATTAGTATTTGAATGTTTTAGGGTATTGAGAAAATAGTTCTATATAAATAAATAAGCAATAAAAAATGCCATTAAAATCAATCAAAATTTGTTTTACCATCCCTTCTACCTTGAGATGTAGTTTGGCGAATTTTGGTATCTTACTTAATTTATATCATTATTTAAAATATTTATAAAATATTTCTCCCTGTGCAATGCAATCCGTTCGCAGGTGAAGCGCCTGACCATGGGCATCGGCCTGCTGCGGGGAACCGAGGACAGTCGTCCCCTGGTGCACAGCACCTGCGGCTCCTCCCTGACCTCCGGTTCCGGCTGCGGATCCACTCAGACCATCTCCGACGGCTATGTGAACGAGGCCATCTGCGAGCCGGACAAGTACGTGGCCAGCAAGTTCGGCGACTCCTGCCGCCAATCACTCTCCGCTCTGGAGAGTGCCACCCAGCGGTTGCAGGTGGAGCTGCCCGCCAGCAACAAGAAGTATCTGAGGGAGACTTGCAGCGGTAAGTGGTGGCATTAGTTGCACTTGAAGAAAATGGCATTTAAATTATTTAAATTATAAATCATATATCTTTGAATTTTCTAACTTCTTCATTTAATATTTCGTTTTTCAATCTCGTATTTTTTACAGCCAACTCCAGTCCGAAATTGTTTCCCGCCCACGGTTCCCTGCGCCTGGATAATCTCAGTCTATCAGAACAGCAGGAGCTGAAGGGGGCCGCCTGGTTCCAGGCTGGGATTCCACGCGAAATCTCGCTGGAGGTCTTATCCCGACAGAGTCCAGGTGCGTTTCTAGTGCGCCAGAGCAGCACAAAGCCGGGCTGTTTCGCCCTCTCCCTTCGAGTGCCGCCCCCTTCGCCACGGGTGGCACACTATCTGATCCTGAGGACGCAAAGGGGGTACAAGATTAAGGTGAGTAATAAAGTTCTATAAAAGAGGGAAACAAATTATTACATACATTTGGCAACTTTGCAAAACGATTAGAAAAATAATGGATCAATAAAAAAAAATTAAAAATGAGTTAGAAACCACAACACAAAACTAATTTTAAGGATTTCATATTCAATTTAATTAATTTAGGTTTATTTATTTTAAGTGGGAAAATAATAAATTTAACAATTAGTGTAAATTTTTAATGACTTAAAATATTTAAAGTAAATATGGCTGACAATATATTTTATATTTTCTACTTCGATTCAAATATTTTAAGATTAAATCATCCAATTAAATATGTTTTGTGTTAAATATTCCTTTTTTTAATTAAATTTAAATATTTTATAAGAATCGTTGATATTTCCCTTGTAATAAAAATATACTAGTCTATTTTATATTTAAGGAATTTTATTTAGTTATACCTTAAGCCACTGATAAAATATAAATCCATTTGGTCTTTCTAAAAAATTTCATATTTTGATTCCACTTCCAGGGTTTCACCAAGGAGTTCAGTTCTCTAAAAGCGCTCATCACGCACCACTCGGTGATGCCGGAGCTCCTGCCCGTGCCGCTGACCCTGCCACGCCCCCCGAACACCAGATCGCAGAGGTCACAGGCCGCCTATGGGGGCGGAAGCGGAGGAGGCGGCGGAAATGGAGGAGCGGACTTCGAGATGTACGGATCGCTAAACGACTTTCGCAAAATGATGGCCGATTTGAATGTGTGACCGCTGGGCGCACTTAATTAATTAAGTAATTATGTCACGTTGATTGAATTAAGCTGCCCGGCTTGTCGCATTGTCCGGGTCGAGACAGGATAACAATCTGTTTAATTTGCGTAATTGGCTGTGCTGACGACGGTTGGTTGACGTGGCTACCGATAAATAGGGTCCATGTCCATGTGTATTCTGCCCGGCGATGGCCCCACCTGTGTGTGCGTGTGTGTGTCTACCTGTCCGTCCGCCAGGTGCTACAAAAAGTGCACAAATTTTTATTAAAATTGATAATAAAATCAGAAATGTGGGCGGGGCAGGGGCGTCGGGCGCTGTGGTTGCGGATGGGCGTGTGCATACACAAATATATGGAATATACGCTCAAATCATTTTTGCGAAACTGATTAAAAAAGTGCAAAAACATGCAATATGTATACGCAAACAGACATCAAGTGATTATTATTTTTCGCGTTTTTATCATTTTTATTCGTTTTGTATGGTTTTCGCTGAGTGGCAGGTGCATCAGACAGACATTTGAATGGGGGGGCAGTCGGATAAAATGTTAATGTTTGGGCAGGGAAATCGGGCAAATGGGAGACAGCCTGGATTTGGAGTGCTGCCGCGGGGATGGGTACAATGGATTCTTTTTGCGGTGCATTTGATGCACTCTTAATGCAGACAACTAGCTAGATAGACTTATCATGAACTAAAAAAGTAATCAATTATATTGTAACTCTATGTATTTTGTGTAATAAAATGAATGGAAAATACTGTGTAAATGTTTTTCTTTACCTATTTTATTTAAAGTGTATTAATCAACTTTAAACCTTTCCACATAAATATATTTTTAGTGATTGCTTTAGATTTTAAACTCGGGCCATTTTCTACAAACCATGTTTGAATTTTGCGCCAAATTACCGGTTTTGCTATCGGTTCGAGTACCCGCTTCAGCGGTTTGAGTCCTTGGTGATCCATCAAATAAACTTAATTAGCTGATATGTTTATCTCTAGTCTTTTTGCTATAAGTTTAGTACGCCCAATACTCCTTGTAAAAATCAAAAAACTTACGATTTTCTAATAACGAATTTCTAGTGTAAACGGTTTGGAATTGAAGGGGTATCGTTATCGGCGGGGCTGTGCCAGTGTTGTCGATAATTTTGGTACATAAAAAAAGCTAGAGTAAAAGCGGAAAGATTAATGAACAAAACTAAGAAGGCTAAAAATGTATCATTCTTATTCCAAACATCTATACTTTTTACAAAATGAAATTCACCGAATCGACACTTTGCAATCAACAGTAACCAATTCAAACAGACATTAGTAAATGCCAAATCCCGCCGTCGACTTTTTCCCGCCACTTTAGCTATAAAAGAGCCAGATTCAGACAGAAAACGCCAAGTTCGCATCACTGAAGGCCAGCTGCCGCTACTTCCCGCGCATTTTCTTCGACCCAGGTAGGTCGAGATCCGTTTCGCTTGCATTCCGTGTTTTCACTCGCCGCAAAGCCTCCGTAGCAACACCATCCAGACAACGTGGAACCTCCCGCTGATCCCAAGACCGGCATTATTTCCATTGTGAGTGCAACAAAACCATCGACGGCATCTTTCGGCGTCCCTAACCTTATATATTATATATACACACATTTTTCGGCAGTTTCGGAGACAAAAATTGTGAAAATACAAGATAAGATGCCGCGCAGAAAGGCCCTGACGAACAACAATAATGCCGGTGAGTCGGAGCCGCCGAAGGCGAAGCGCGCCAGGATCGCCTTTCATCTGGAGCTGCCGCAGCGGAGGAGCGTGCTGGGCGACGTGCTGGTCTGCGGCAACGGGGATGTGGGCCAACTGGGCCTCGGCGAGGATATCCTGGAGCGCAAGCGCCTCAGCCCGGTGGCCGGAATCCCGGATGCCGTGGACATCTCCGCCGGCGGCATGCACAACCTGGTGCTGACCAAGACGGGCGAGATCTACTCCTTCGGCTGCAACGACGAGGGCGCCCTGGGTCGCGACACCAGCGAGGATGGCAGCGAAGCCAAGCCGGGACCCATCGATCTGCCCGGCAAGGCTCTGTGCATTTCGGCGGGCGACTCGCACTCCGCCTGTCTGCTGGAGGATGGACGCGTCTTCGCCTGGGGCTCGTTCAGGGATTCGCATGGCAACATGGGCCTCACCATCGACGGCAACAAGCGTACGCCCATCGATCTGATGGAGGGCACTGTCTGCTGCAGCATCGCCTCGGGCTCCGATCACCTGATCATCCTGACCACCGCCGGCAAGGTATTCACCGTGGGCTGCGCCGAGCAGGGACAACTGGGCCGGCTCTCGGAGCGTTCCATCTCCGGAGAGGGTAGGTCTTGCTCCGCACATAACCCACAGCCTACTCATTAAACTGTACAATCTTTTATAGGTCGTCGTGGCAAGCGCGACTTGCTGCGGCCCACGCAGCTCATCATCACGCGGGCCAAACCCTTCGAGGCCATCTGGGCCACCAACTACTGCACATTCATGCGCGAATCGCAGACGCAGGTCATCTGGGCCACGGGGCTGAACAACTTCAAGCAGCTGGCCCACGAGACGAAGGGCAAGGAGTTCGCAGTGACGCCGATCAGGACGGAGCTCAAGGATGTTAAAAACATCGTGGGCGGTCAGCATCACACTGTTGTCCTCACCAAGGACCTCAAGTGCTCGGTGGTCGGTCGTCCGGAGTACGGACGCCTCGGACTGGGCGATGTCAAGGATGTGGTGGAGAAGCCCACGCTGGTGAAGAAGCTAACCGACAAGATCGTGGAAGTGGGCTGCGGCGAAGTCTGTTCCTATGCCGTTAGCGAGGATGGCAAACTGTATTCCTGGGGCTCCGGCGTCAACAATCAACTGGGCGTTGGCGATGGCGACGATGAACTCGAACCGGTGGTGGTGGTCAGCAAAAATACCCAGAACAAGCACATGCTGCTCGCATCCGGCGGTGGCCAGCACGCCATCTTCTTGGTCCAGGCGGATAAGCAGGAGGAAAAGGAGAATGTACCGGCGAAGGCTTCCGGCAGCAAGAAGGACAAGACGCCGCCGCAGGAGGAGGAGGCCGAGAAATCCGTCCCAGTTAAGCAGGAGAAGGCGTCCGGTAGCAGCAAAAAGAACAAGACGCCGCCGCAGGAAGATGCCGACGAGGAGGAGGCCGAAGAGGAGCCCGCTCCGGCGGCTCCCACTGCCAAGAAGGCCAAGAAACCGGCTGCCAAGCGAGGCGGCAAAAAGACATAAGATTAAGGATGAACACTCTGACACTTTGTTTTTGGTCGCATTAAGTTACAAACCCGTACGCTTATTCGTAAGATTCGTAAGATAGATCGGATGTTTTGCCTATTATACGTTAAGATTTACGAACTGAATCCTGTTAAGTTCTTATTAATTTGATAAATAGATGCCCGCTTATATCTTACAAGTCTTAATCAAACCAACTATATATGTTTATTAATTACACTCGTTTGAAATACGAAATACGAAACCGTAGTAAATTTGTATTTGAACGCAAAAACTAATCGAGATTTATTTACAAACTAATCAACTTGAATCCGTTATAATCGGTTATTTGTTTATATAATTTACAAAGATATATCCTACTCACAGTGTTCTATAAATTCTTGGCTTGGGCGGGAGGAATGGGAGGGAGATGACCGACAAAAGGCTACAAAAGGTTGGGCAGTAAGCATGGGATACCATTTACTTGAAACTCGAACAATATCAAGAAACACGAAATTGTTACTCTTAGCATAGATTGTGTGTATTACTTATGTATATGTTTAGGGTGGCTCGATTTGTAGTGAGGGTATGTGAAGAAATTTGGGTATAATCTGAAGGTTTGCCTTTCACCCTCTTAAGCAGAAATATCCAGACTAATAGCATTTTTGAAGGATTTAATTTAAAATACCTGGCGAGGGTCGAAATACAAGAATAAATGGCAAACAAATCGAACCACCCTGGCTTATATAGGTGTGGGTTTTGGCTTGACTACGAGTAGTAACACGGCTGACGATTGCCTCTGCCTGAGTCGACGGTGGCTAGGGAGGTGGTGATGCTGGTGGTGGTGGTGGAGTTTCCGCCATAGTTGCTGCCCAGGTAGAAGCTCACGAACAGGATGCCGCACAGCAGCGATAGCGAAAGGACGACGCGCACCAGCTTCCTTGCGAAGGCGATCAGTCCAAGAAGATGGCCGCCGGCCGCAACGCCGCCCAGCTGCCGATCGTTGATGCTTTGGCAGCTGCGGCACAGCTGCAGATGCGTCTGGATCAGCGCCTCGAGGCACTCGCCCTCAAATTGGTCCATCGCATCGGCACAATCCAGACCCAAAGCCATCAAATCAAAGGCACACGAGCAGTTCTCCAGCTCGTGATCGTTATTATTGCTTTGGCTAGCGGCATCGTTCGGCTCCTGCCTGGTCAGATTACACGGTGAAAGTAAATATTATTTGCGCTTCGCACACGAATACGCCGTCGCCTTGGGACAGTTGGAGCCATGGTGTCCCAGCTGCTGGTACATCAGGAAGCCGAAGCCCGCGAAGAGCAGCAAAAGCAGCGCCAGCGTCACGTATTGCAGGTTCTGGGTGAAGGCCAGCTGGCGCTCCATCGCCGATTGCGGATCGTGTCCCTAATAGAAGAAGATATTACTATATATTTTCTGGATTTTATAGCCAGTAAGGAAACTCACAACAGCCGACTTCTTGCAGTCCACACTGGCCTTGCTGGCCTTGGCTGCGCAATCCGGTTGCGCCTTGGCCTTGTTCTCATCGAAGCGACAGACCAGCCGATGCTGCTCCACGTCCACCGCCGAGGGGGATTTGCTACGCCACAGCTCGGCCACATCGGAGCCACCGCACTCGCCGCCCGGCGCCATCATGGCCATCACCAGGAACTTGTCCTTGCTCTCGCCACTCAGCTGGTGCTCCGACTTGAGCCATATGTTGATGGAGGCCTCCTGGTTGGGCTGGATGATGCCGCACCGGGGTCGCACACGGAACTTCTCGGGCGATGTGGTTTGGATCTGCAAGGGATTGGTATGGTTTAGTCTGGATTGTAATCTAGATCTCTAGGGGATTAACCCACCTTATACGTCACAGCCGAGGTGGCCACCGACTTGAGGTTCAGCGTGGCCTCCGCATTCTTGGAATTAAAGTTGATAAACTCCTTGGGGTTTATACTCAACATGCCTGGTCAAGGAAAGCAATATAAGCGGGCCACCGCTCGGTTTTAATAGGGTAGATTTATTTTCAATTTTGGTGGGGACCAAAAAATTTTGTTCAAGTGGAATAACGAACTAAAATGAGACGACTTGGTGCTACGATTTGTGTATATTTTATGACATAATGAGCAGGGCAGATTGATAGGGGTAGTGGGGGAAGTTTAAAAATCACATTTTAACAGTTATTTTCGGATAAGTAAAGTAAAATTTTAGGACTTTTTTAAGTACATGATTTTTTTGGTAAGAAAAATTTACAATAACAGTTATTTTCGGTCCCTGGTTTTTAGGGGTTTCGTTTCTAGATAATATTTTTCTGGAGAAGGGATGATTTCTTACCCTCTGAAGGAGTGTGCATCTCGTTGATGTTGGACTCCTTGAGAACCACGGGAGCGGTATTGGCAAAGGTGACCTGTCGATTAAAGAGAACTCGTTCAAATGACAGTCTTTTTAGGTTGTAGTTATGGGTGGGATAGCTTGGCGCCGCCCCTTCTAATCGGGGGCTGATGCGAACGTGCTTTTGTGTGTCATTTTCACAAGGGCCGCCCCACTCTATTCTTGGCACCCTTGAGCTGGCATTATTGGCGAAGGTTCCACTTGTGGTGAAGGTCGCTGGGTGAATCGGTTTGATGTGGTTTTCCGTCTGGTGTGAATCTCTTATGCATCGGAATTACGAGTTTCATCTGGGCGTTTTTATCCGCCCTTATCGCTGTCCTCCGGCTGCAATCCCATCCAACTCACGTAATTAAAACGCCCGGGCTCAGACATCGGTCACATTCGCCAGTTTCCACACAGAGATTATAGCCTTTGACTTGAGATACAAAACATATAACCGAAAGCCGGATTTTTGGACCCTTTGAGATTAGTTCTGCAATTAATTTGCAGCCACCGAAAAAGAACAGCTGGCAACCCTGAAACTGTGGATTTCCCGGCTTCGCTTTAGGGAATTCCCAAAACGCGTTAGCCCAAACTGGTTTTGAATATTATTAAACGAATAAAACTTTATTTACTTAAACAATTTAACCTTGATTTTAAAACTAGCACTAACACGAAAAACTATTTATAAAACGTTTAACTTTACCGTTATTTTATGAAATTTACATTTTTTAAAACCTTAAACTTGCCCTTTAAAGTTTAAAGTTTAAACCGAACTTATTGGTTCCTTTTTGTGGAATCGGTTCACAGCTGAAACCTCCAACGGACAGAAATTTAAAACAATAAAGTCTCTTTGCTGTTTAAACTGAACAAACAACTGTTGTCATTTTAGCACAAAGACAAATATGCAAGGTGAAATAATCACCAAGTCAATTCGATCCGTTTCGGGTTTGTTGTGCTTTTGTTTGGGGCTCCATTCCACGTAACGCACACATGATCATGATGACAGACAGTCAACTTTTCAGTATAATTAACCGGATAAAGTCGGATTGGATAGTAAATACTTGGCATTTTCAGCGGTTTATAGGTGATTTATTGATTCTTAAAGGACTGACACAGTTTTTTCTTAGGCACAATTAAAAATGAGTATGAACACTTGAACACAAAACACGTACTACTACGCACACACACACATACCCTGGGCATTTTGTTCGAAGAATGAATATCAAATTGGTACAATAACAATGCAGCCTCAGCTTCCGCCCGCCGATTTCTCTTTTCTCCGTTGTCCCGCCGCTTATTTGTTAATAACAATTAAAGATGGCAAATGTCCATGACGATTAGCACAAGTTTGTAACATAAACGAACGTATAATGAGGTTGCTGTATGGGTTTTTTTGTGACTAGTTCGCGCAAATGTAGAAATACAAATGAAATGAAAAGCACACCGAGCGAGCTTTTGGTCGATCAACTTCTTCCAGCTGTTGTTGTTGACTGCCGCAAAATGAACTGGTTCATTTTCTGTAAATGAAAGTGCCGTTGCATTAGGTGATGACGTCGTGTGGGTGTGATAAGAGAGAGTGTGGTGTGGGTGTGTTGTCGAGTGGGTGTGGGTGAAATGCTCGAGTCGCCGGATAATATTCGCTCTGGGAAATCATTTACACCAGCGGTCGGCACACACATACGATGACATTTTGTGTTATATATGTGTGGGTAAATTGCACTGGGCAGCTCATTGATGTGTGTGTACAGACTGCTGTTTTACAGTGTCCGTGAGGGGCAGCGGATGAGCAGAGCAATTCCCTATGCTCACTTAATAGGACGCTGCCGACCGCTGATTTACACACATGTAATGTACGATACAGAAACACACACATAGAACATGTTATAATCCCGGCGACAATGTGTGTTCTACTTTTTTCGGGTCAACGCTTCGGGGCCTCGAGAACTGACCGCTAGCCACTGAACTGACCCAAGCCAGAAACAGAAACCGAAAGTTTAGCAATATGTCAAATAAAAGACTATAAATAGCGCTGTAATGTTCTACCCACGGACTGCTGCGGGTAAAACGAGCAACTACACTCAGAAAAATTCGCATTACATGCAGTATGAAAATATAAAAGGAAAATATGATTCAAAGATCTACAATATTAATAGGAAACATTTCTTACAAAAACATTGTTTTATAATTTTGCATTAAAAATAGAGTAATTTTAAAATACTGATAAAAAAAGTGATAAATACATTCATTAAATATTTTCAGTTTGATATTAATGTATTGTGGTTTAAGTACTGAAATATTATATTAAACAATTTATTTAAGAATTTTAATTTAAATAATTGAAAATAAAGTGAAAAGTAGAAAAATAAGTGTTACGAGTAAACGATTTCGACATAAAAATTAATAATTTACAAATGTGACTGGGACACATAATGGAGATGGACATTATTTTTTTTTTACTAAAAAACTTGGTTTTTTAAATTCTTCTAAAGCTTTCACATCTTTCAGTGCACTGGGACAGGACCCTCGCTTAGTGGTCAAGCTTAGTGGTCAGTTGGGGACAACTCACGCAGGACACGCAAACAGCGCACCCTAAATCAATACGTCCCAAGAATGTGAATCAATTATGGAGAGAGCGCTCGCGTGAGGTTTCGAAAAAAGCAATTAGGCGACCGAGGGACCGACTCCTTCCGGGTGCAGTCATGTTACAAGGAACACGCCCCTTCTCGAGATTTCCCCCGTTTTTTGTTGGTGGTGTCCTGGCAGTGGTATCTGTATATCTGTATATCTCCCTCCCGACCCAGTAACTCACCTTCTTGTCCCCGAACTGGTCATCATCGCCGGCATTGGCAGCCACTGGCTTGGATGTAACCTGTCTGGCCTCCGGCACGAAGCTAAATTCGTAGCCATCTTCGCCACCCCAGCTGGCCAGGCATTTGTCCTTGGTTACGTATTGGTTGATGTCCTTTTTCGATATCATTTTCAAAATCTCAACCGCTTTTGGTGGCAGCAGGGCCTTGATGACCTTAAAAGCAGCTAGGAAAAGGGATAAGGAAAAGGTCATGGTCACGGTTAATGTTTCAAGTTCAATATTAAATGTAATTTGGCAAAAATCAATAATAAAGAGATTATACTAATACTAGTCTTATAATAATAAGGTATTTCTTACCATTCAGCACCCAGGCCAGCTCGTACACTAGAATGTAGTTCAGGGCATTGGGATAGTACTGCTTGAAGGTCTCCACAATGCGCTTTACAAAGTCCAGATCCATTGTGGCCAGTCCCGTGCCCGCCATGTCGAAGACTATGGTCAATTGGGTCAGGTGCTTCTCCCTCTGGGTTCTCTCCACCCAGTACACTACGATGCGGATCAGTTCATCCAGATTCTTGGACTTGCTGTGCAGTTTAACGCGGAATATCAACAGGGGCTTTCCATCCACATCGCTGCTGTGCACAAAAACCGATCCTTCGTTTAAGTACTCCTGGTTCAACTGGCTTTCGTGGAGATCATTGGCCCCATATGACTGGCGCCAAGCACAGGTCTCCCATAACTTGTTGAAGGACGCCTCCATATCGAGATCATGCATTTCCAGGAACCTCTGTAGCCAGAGATGATCGTTGCGAATGCGATCAATATCGGTGGGATGGAAGGGTGCTGGCAACGGATCATGTAAGATAATAAAACGATTATTGGAAGTCTTATCTTTATTTTGTGTACATAATAAATACCATTCGGTTTAAGTTACAATATACTTTTTCCACGAACTTATCTCCTATCTCTGCGCTTTTAAAGAACCATTTACCGTGCAATTCTATTCCTAATCTCTGTTTACTTAAGAGGTGTCAGAATTTAAATTTTGAAAAGATAAGGATCGGTTTTGATAACAACATAGAGTACAAGTGTTGGCTCGGGTGATTTTACTGCTAGCATTTCAGAACTCAAAATAAAACCTTTAATTTATTTTTATTATATTCCGTTCGGTTTGGCCTAAACTTTGGCCCCACGTACTTAACCTTCTGCCACTGATAGCCAGCAGTACGGAAGTCCATATACTATATGCCATTTCTATATATAGCTCTTCAGGTAGCTATAGCTTAGGTCTCAAGTTCAAAGCTTTCCCTGAAGTGCACTTGAGTCAGCCTAATCGTTGGGCTAGGCTAGGCAGGGCTTTTTTATGTATTCGCACACTAATTGGAGAATTTGCACTACAAATAAGCCCAGTCGAATGAATCATATAAACAAACTATTAACAGAACACTGCTATATTTCAAGTAATTATCGAAAAAACCTGTCAATGAACGGGATTATACGAGTGACCATTAAACCGAAGCTCACATAATTTATTAGACTCTCCAGCTAACACGAACGTTGCACTTTGAATCCGTCGAGTGCTTGGGATTATCTCACCTGCCGGGGGTGATGAGGCATATTTGGTGTTGAATTTTTCCCGCAGCTCCTCGATTTGCTGGGGAGTCGTCTCCTTGACCTTGATGCCCATGCTGCCAGCTACTTTTCGCACTCGTTCTCGACCAGAATTGTGGGCAGACTAACCATGGAAGTAATATTCCAATCGAAAGGGGGTGCCTATCGCTGAGCTCCTAATCAGAAATCCACTTTCACTGCGATTAGATTTGTGACGGTGTACAACAGGTGGGTTGTGCGTTGAACAAGCGGGAATTAGCGAGCTAACCAAGTGCGTTCCACGAGCGAGTGCGGCTAACTGAATAATCGGCGCTAACGGTGTCGACAGCGGCTATTCACGATCGGGGGATATGGATCGTTGGCAGTCGGCAGGCGTGCGGATCGAATGTGGAGCACCTGGTTCTCCGCGGCACTATAATGGGCCTCCCAAAAGGGCAATCCACCCCACCACCCACCTGCTGCAATGGAACGTGATCGTGTGGGAGGCAAACCACCTGCATTACAATTACCCCCACTTGCGCTTGAGTGGAAGTACTGCTAGCACGAAAGCTTTCGAAGCTTTTCGCTGGAGTGCTCAAGCAAACAGCGGATTCCATTCCGGTCAATAAATATCGTATTTTTATATTTACACTATCGTACAAAGTTTAAGGCAAGTTTAGGCAAATTTATAAACGTATTCGTCGTTGCCGCCCCAGATCTTGAGGCTGTTGTCCTTGTCCACATACTGATCGAGGTCCTTCTTGGAGGTCACTTTCAGGATCTTCAGAGCTTCGGCGGGCAGGAAGGTCTTGACAATTTTAAAGGCAGCTAAAAATGGAAAATCAATAATTATGATATTGAACTAAAAACGGAGTTCAAGAACCTACCATTCAAGAGGAAGGGCAGCTCATGCACCAGTATATAGTTAGGAACATAGGGATATTTGGTCTCGAACACTCCGATAATGCTCTTGATAAAGTCCAGGTCCAAGTTGCTGAGACCGGTGCCAGTCATGTCCATGAAGAGGGTGATCTTATCCAGTTTGCTGTCGCGCTGCAGTCGCTCAATCCAGAAGACAAGGATTCGCAGGAGATCCTCCTGATTGCGGCTCTTCGAGTGCTTGTTGATGGTGAGGATCAGCAGGGGTTTGCCGTCCTTGTCCTTGTTGTGCACAAAGACGGAGCCATCGTTCAGGTACTCCTGGTTCAGGTTCGTCTCGTTGATGTCATATACCCCGAAGCTTTGACGCCAGGCGAGATTGTCCCACAACCTGATGATGCACTTCTCCACATCAAAGTCGTAGACCTGCAAAAGTTTGGTGATCCAAAGGTCACTGTCGGTAATGCGCTTCAGGTCTTCGGGATGGAAGGGCACTGTTTTTGGGAAAATATATTTATAAATTCGATTAGATGCGATTATTTTTATGGCACTAGCTTACCTGCTGGTGGCTCCTTCTCCAGTTTCTCAAGAATGCTACTCTTGACTTGGCCAATCTGCTCGGCGCTTGGCAGCTGATCTGAAGGCATGTTGCTACTTGGATTTGGTTCCACCAACTGAAGTATCCCCTGCAGGGGGCTTTAAAATTATATCAATTTCTTATCTACCGCTTAACTATTTGGAAAGGCTTTTCGAGTTCTATTTTTTGAGGGGGGAAGTACTGGGTATTCTTAATCTGGGAGCGGGATGTCTGACCCGGGAGCGGGCTAATCAACGACTGACAGCAAACACTGAACGTTTCGCTCGCCGAGAGCGTTTTTATTTGTTCTCCAATTGTGCTCTGCTTTCCAGACGACGATCATGTAAATGACTCGATGCGGGTGGGGGACTGGCGAAGGCAAACCCAACCACACTGCCGCCCGTTCTTTAATCAATATAGAAAAAAAGACAAAAACAAATTACCCGCGGACCAATCCGGGGGGCAAAGCGAAGGGAACGCAGTCAATTGCGATAAGCGGAATAAACTCGGGAACTGGTAATGTTTATGGTTCGTGCAGGCGACTCTTCGGGAATTCGGTTTTATAGCTTCTGCTGTGGTTTTCTCTGCGATATATGACGTCTCCACTGGCTTCCTACACGTTGTAAGTGTAGCTGTACTGGATGGGGGATGTGGGAAATTCTTTGTGGCTTGCCTCGATTCGATGTAGCAATACAAGTCTACTGAGCTCATTCATTTTCCTTCAACTGGCAGCCGATGATTGCGGTGGCCGTAATGGATATCTAACTTGAGATGCCATAATTACCGTAATTTATTTTATTTTCATAACAAGATTGATTTGTCAGCTATTTTTTCTATGCACAAATGTTAATCTTATCGACCTTTTGTACTAAAATAACTACGGCTTTAAAGCAGATAATTGAATTTATTACTGTCATCGTTATAAGCTTAAAATCTCGTATTGCTCTTTTTGATTGTATCAATGAATGAAAAATAGTAAGTTTGATTTGCTGATTCATAAATGTATTTGATTTTTTTTATAAGCAGATAATTTAATTTATTATTGTCATCGTTTCGTGATTATATGAATGAATGAAAAATAGTAATTCATAAAAGAAATTTTAATTTATTATAGTCACCGCTTCTTTTTTGTACTTTTTAGGATGTGGGTTATCTTTCAACTAGTTTATGCATGTGTGAATATAATTAATTTTAATTAGACAAAACATGTATTATTACGGGAAATACAATTTATGTTTGAATTGTAACTCCTATCGATAGTTACCTGTTAAGCCATAAGAACATCGGTTCATTTCACTGTTCAAGAGAACCAATTCAAAAAGTGATCCCCAGCAAGATCCCTGTTATAAGAGCCAAAAGTAAAATTATAAAATATCAATAAATATATTCAAGTAAAACAAGCCAATACTTGCTATATTGTTTAATTGTATAGAGAGCTTAAAGGTCTATTATTGAATTTTAGCTGATGCACAGCAGTTACCTATTTACTTTTTAATGGGCGTTGCTGATTTCTGTGAAACCGGCGTAGTAATTATTTTGTTAACCAGCTGCGGTAAGTTTGATTTTTAATTTTTTATATAATACCTAGTCAACTTAACAAGCCAGCTGTATTTTTGAAAACGCTAAAAATTGATTTTTAATTAGTGTGCCAATTTATGAATTGGATAATTTAATCAAATATAATCAATTTTTGAACTGAATATGTGTTGCGCGTTTGTTATTGTTGACATTGAAAACGGATGAGAGGCGTGGAAAGAGCAGACAATAACAAAACCGAAGCCATTTACATATCGAAAGCTCGATACCTCGGATCCCTCGAAACCCCCCCGCCATTTGGACCATCCGCCATCGACATCCAAGAACTTTCGCCTGGCGTTTCTGGCCCAGTTGTGATGTCTACGTGAAAACGTGCGTTTGCAGTGCGACCACGTCCTCGCCATTTATCCGGATGCGGATGCAGTGCAGCCAGTTGTGAGATCCCCCCGAAGTTCCCGAGATGAAGTTCGCAGAGCACCTCTCGGCACACATAACGCCCGAGTGGCGCAAGCAGTACATTAACTATGAGGTGAGTGCCGCAAAATGTCTTTCCACGGTGTGGAAAAATCTGTATCCGTGTAGATACACGGACGAGTGTGCTTTTCCCGCTGTCATTCTGCCAGCTGTGACGTCACGTGCCGCGTCAGCTGTTCTGGTCCAACTGTCAAATGGCGGAGCTTTCAACGCGCATGCGCCCTGTTGAACGGCAGTCTGTGTTTTGCTCTCCTTGGACGTAAACAAATCAGGAGAGGATGGGGATGGGGTGGGGTAGGGTGGAGAAGAAGAGAAGTAGACAAAGCAAAGGCAAAGATGAGTGGGGGATATATAGATACAGTGAGCGTTAAAAGTATAGGTCCTTTGTTTAAAGGGCTTATTTTATTCAGCCTTTGAGGAAATATTAACTCTGTCATTTACCGTTACTTTTCCAATTTCATATTTATTTATGCAATTTTAATAAAAGTTGTGCATTTTCTTATACGCAGTATTATTATAATTAACATTTACAAAATGTTCCCTTTTTGTTCCAAATTTGAGCAATATTAAATTGAAAAACCTTTAAAATAGTTCCGGTAACCACTTTCTATTACTAGAATGCTACTAATGTTAAAATTTTGTCCCTTTAAATTTTTTTTTAATAAAAGTCTTAACCTAATGATCTTATTTCTATAACGGTATAGAAAATATTGTCTAAACGTTATTAAAGTTACGTAAATATCGTATTTAAACCTTAAAATTCAAAGTCAAATCGAACTCGAAATATATTTTAAAATTTTTTTGATGGTATTTAATTAAACCTATGGTGATAGATCCTTAAAATAAATATATTATATGAATAAATTTTTCAGGAGATGAAAGCCATGCTGTATGCAGCCATCGAACAGTCGCCATCGGCAGAGCTCGTGGAGCGCGAGATGGTGACCCGGTACTTTGCCAAATTCGATGAGGAGTTCTTTCACTACTGCGACAAGGAGCTGGCCAAGATCAACACATTCTACTCGGAGAAGATGGCCGAGGCGACTCGCAAGTACGGCAGTCTGCGCAGCGAACTGACCGAGGCCCTGGAGATGGGTCATCCCAAGAAACTGCCGGCGTGGAAGAGGCGCACGCCGCTGGGCAAGAAGAATGTGCCGGCGCGCAAGATACAGGATCTCAAGTTGGCATTTAGTGAATTTTACCTGGGGCTCATACTGCTCCAGAACTATCAGAACCTCAACTTCACGGGTTTCCGCAAGATACTTAAGAAGCACGACAAGCTGCTGAGCGTGGACTATGGGGCCCGTTGGCGCACGGATCACGTGGAGGCGGCTCACTTTTACACCAACAAGGACATCGATCGTCTGATCCAGGAGACGGAGCAGGCTGTCACGCAGGACATCGAGGGCGGGGATCGGCAGAGGGCGATGAAGCGTCTGCGAGTGCCGCCTTTGGGGGAGCAACAGAGTCCGTGGACCACCTTCAAAGTGGGTCTCTTCTCGGGCGCCTTTGTCGTTCTCTTCATTACCGTTGTGATCGCCGCCATGTTCTATGGATTCGGGGAGAATTGGCGGGCCGGCATGAGGATGTTCCGAGCTCCATTCCTGATCATCGAATGTCTTTTCCTCTGGGGCGTCAATGTCTACGGCTGGCGATCGTCGGGAGTGAATCACGTCCTCATTTTCGAGTTGGATCCCCGAAATCACCTCTCCGAACAGAACATCATGGAGGTGGCCTCCGTTTTTGGAGTTATCTGGGCCGTCTGCGTGCTGAGCTATATATTCTGCGATCCATTGGGCATCCCACAGTATGCAGCTCCACTCTGCCTGTACACTTTAATGGCTGCCTTTCTACTTAATCCCACAAAGACGTTCCATCACGAGGCTCGTTACTGGGCCCTTAGAGTCCTTCTCCGAGTGATCATGGCTCCGTTCTGCTTTGTTAACTTTGCCGATTTCTGGCTGGCCGATCAGCTGAATAGTATGGTGCCAGCCTTTCTGGATATTCCCTTTCTGATTTGCTTTTTCGGTAGAAGTCCTACGTGGCACAAGGCTGGAAAGGGTGAGTGTTTATATCTATAATCCTATAATCATTACTTTAAGATCTTTTAAATTAATAAACTAACGTGGAAATTTAAAGATTTTTAAAGTTTAATAGTAACTAAACCTTCTGATGTTATTAAATTATTGTGAAAAAAAGCTTTTCTATTTAGACAACTCCCCAATTCTACGTAATTAACTTTTCGCATATCAAATGAACTTGCAAATGGGAAAAGTAAGAGGCAACAATACTCGACAGCATTTAAAATGTGAAATCAGTTCCGGGAATTGTCCTGCTGAGTGATTTAATTATGGAATACAAAATGCTTAAATTAACGTCACTTTTTCCCCGTTTATGCAACAGCTGCCAGCCACTGCGTGGAGTATGTGTCGCTGCTGCATCCCATTGTGGCCATTTTGCCCGCCTACTTCCGGTTCGCCCAGTGCATCCGCAGATACCGCGACACAAAGGAGTCATTTCCGCATCTGGTCAACGCAGCGAAGTATGCAACATCCTTCTTTGTGGTGATATTTGCCCACAAATATCACACGACCACGGGTAAGTGGATTCATTATGCGGGCGTGAGTTCATTAGGGCACAGCAACGGACCAACAGACCAGCGTCACCGCAAGCACAAATATGTACATATATATTATGCGTGTTGTTTACGGTCCAGTGCCAATTAGTGGTGTCTTCATGACCCGAAATTCATGAAGATTCTATTTGGCAGCAGGGCACGTTCACGCACCCACTCTATTGTCTTGAGATTTTCAGATACCTATCCGCTGTCCAAGGAGAATCCCTGGTTCTATTGCTGGATTACGGCGGCCATCTTCTCGTCCTGCTACGCCTACACATGGGACATCAAAATGGACTGGGGTTTGTTCGACTCGAAGGCCGGCGACAATCGATTCTTGCGTGAGGAAATCGTTTATTCATCGACGGTGAGTCCGGATGGTTGGAATGTTTTTGTGTTTTTTTTTTTGGGGGTAGAGTGCGTTGACTCCCCACAAATAATGGCCACGATAAATATTTGGGCAAACGGCACGTAAAACAATCTTTCAAAGCGTTCATTATCTCTGCTTTTTCGGTCCTCAGTGGTTCTACTACTTTGGCATAATTGAGGATTTAATACTGCGCTTCAGCTGGACCCTGTCCATGAGTCTAATTGAGGCTGGCTACATAGAAGGCGACGTAATGATGACTATTCTGAGTCCCCTGGAGGTTTTCCGTCGCTTTATTTGGAATTACTTTCGATTGGAGAACGAGCATCTCAACAACGTGGGCAAGTTCAGGGCGGTGAGAGATATTTCGGTGGCCCCAATGGATTGCTCAGATCAGGTGAGTTTTGATAGCAATCGTATGAGTTGGAAAATCATATTCACATTTACTTAAAAAATTAAATTAAAAATTAAATTTAATAATCACAGTGCTCAGGGTTTTAGGTCGAGAAGTTATTTTTATGCACACTAAAATAACTTAAAGATTCAAGGGTTTTATCCATATTTATAAACTAATTGAATTTAATAAATTAGGTCTTAATAAAATAACAATAAAATTATAGTATTAAGTTGTTGAAAATTTAAAAAATAAAGTCTGGAGTAAAAGAATCAAATTCGGAGAAAAAGGCTGATTCTTTTAAATTTTAAAAACAATTTTTTTAAGCCTAGGGAAATTATATAATTTATAACAAATATTTTTTCGTGAAGACAACTTTTCCAATTTAGGTATAAATGATAAAGTTTTTTGTGTGTTGCAATTCACTTAACCTCATCCTTGTTTCCTTCAATTTCAGACCACGATTCTACGCATGATGGATGAAACGGATGGCGTGTTGAATCGAAGGCGTGGAAAAGCCGCTGGCGGCAAATCCGCAAACAAGAAGAACAAACAGGAGCAGCGACTGCTCCTCCAAGGGGAATCCATCGAGGACCTCTGCTCGTAGTCGGGATGAGGATGGATCCCCATGGGAAATACGGTTACCCAATAAACATCTCTCTGTGTGCACAAATTTTAAGTTTATGCCAATAAAGCACTGCAGTTGCATTTTCGGACACTGAATAAATGGTCGCCCTTCAATGGATTTAGGCAGCTGTGAGCAAGTTCGAGTTCAAGGAACTTTAGTTTTCGGGGCCATTTGTTTACCATATGTGGGTGGTTGCGATTGATGATGAGCACAAGTTCAATTTTCGTGACAGTTGAACAATAAACTTTGGGCAAACTTCTGTTCTATTTGGGTGTGCCATTTGGGGTGCCTAAAAATACATTTGCAAATCCATGCTATCCGTTGGATTGTTGTGGTAGTCATAGCAAATTTACGTAAACGTTAGCAAACGTAATTATTGCTGACATAACAATTATTGCATGAGGCTATGGATATGTTTTGATGATGTGTCCGAAACCATAAAAATTGATGACCACCGATTAGCAGGAAACTGTCCCTTCACTTCAATGATTCAGTTTGTTTTCCTAGAATTTATTTATTTCCCTCTTTGCATAATAAATTTTCAAGAATTTTCACTGGTGGCTGCTGTTGACAAACAATTTTGATGTATTTCACCGTGGGTTACCGCAGGGAGTTGGAAAGGTTCGGTCCACAGCTGCTGTATATTGATTGATTGGTGCTTTTTTGTCAGGTTTTTCCCCCGCTTGGATTCACTGTAATTATTTAATAAAACTTTGAAGGGTATTTACTCCCTGCTGATTACATTCTTATCACAAAAAAAACCCTGGCTTAATTTCTAGTGATTTTCATGGTTTTAGCCGTTTGTATTTGACCGAACCACAAAGAATTCAATAAGCTTTTCTCCTCTGCCATTGTCAACCGCATTTTTGCGGTCTTTAGGGGACAAATAGCGATAATAAATGATTGTTGAGTTTAATATGTGCTCAATTTAATAACGTAAACGGAAAACTACCAAGTTTTTTGCCAAAAGAAAGTTACGCAAATTGTTTCGAAAACTTTTTGTATTTCTTGGCCGTCAGAAAGTTTTGTTAGAGCCTTTCGCAGTCCTAGGAAGTCTGCTTCCTCCGCTTCATACTTATAAATATTCTTGACAGTTTTTTTTGGTACTCATATAATTGATTTAATTTTGTAATTTAACAGTTGATAAAACTTGTGTTTCCGGAGATTTATTTGACAGGCGAATGCAAAATAGCTGTCAAATAGAACGAAAAGTAAAACATCTGGCAATCAAAAACTCAACTTGAACGTGATCAGCTTTGTGTTTTCACAAGGTAAATACGCATTTAGCCTTTTCTTGTCGTCCATTTCAGCAAATGCTGTGAGTGTGTGTGCCATGTGAAAGCGGATTATATCACGGCTTTCGGTCTTCGGTCTTCAACATCACACAGTTGCTTATTTGTGTGCGAAGCCAAAGTTCAATTCAAATTGCAGTTCTTTCAATTTTATATTTTTAGAATTTTTTTCCGCCTTGGGGAAACATTTTTATGTGATTCCGTTGCCGGGCAACTCCCGGTAGCAAAGGCATTGGCCATTAGGAACCATTTATGGCTTGCAGATAGGAATTTCCTTTTTAGACTGTCACATCGATGGGAATCTCTTACGGGCGAGTGCTTGTTTTTTTTGAAGTCCTGCGATAAGTGGACCCTTTTTGGGAGTGTTTTTATTAGCCCCCGGGATGCTTATCCTGCCCACATTTAGTGGCATGTAATTTTCCAGCCCTCGAGATGAACCCATTTGATAATCAGGGACTGCGGTATCTTATTTTTACCTTGCGGTTGTGGCGGTTGTAGCGATTGTAGCGGTCGTAGCTTTTAAGCAGATGAAAATGTGAAAAGCGCTTACGTTCTGGGAAATAATAAAAGTGGTTCATGTTTTCGTCTCTCCTTAAAGCCTTTTACTTTGGCGACAAGCAGCAGCGCTTACTTTCACATGTCAACGTGTGGTGGTGACACCTTTTTTCCCAATCCCCACCTACATTGTTGCTTTTTTTTTCGGTTCGGTTCGCTTCTTTTACTGCTGTCAAGGCAGATTTTCTTTGATTTGACAGGGGGACCAACATAGGCTCACCAAAACTGAGGGCAAACACACGTTGTGCACACAACAATGGCGACGGATAACCCACTGTTCGTATACGTATTATTGTGTTGACATTTTCGGCTTGGCCTTGCATTTTCCCATGTTGATTGCAATTGTTTTTGTTTAGCTTTAGCTTACTCGGGCCTTCGCATTGCGTATACGCCGTGTGTAACGTGTGCAATTGCTTTAAGCATCCGTGTTTGGTTTGTGTTTATCCTGCTGAAACATCTGCGCTCGGGGCTGATAAATGAATAAACATTCCGCAATAGATTGAAGTGACAATGGCTGAATGCAATGCAATTGGGATATGCAAATTTCCAAGGATTAAGTGATTGAAAGGCCCGAGTTCGCTGTGTGGCACGTGCAAAACTATAAAGCCAAAGCAAATTAAAGTTTATCCAAATATATTGATTTCCAGATGCCAATTTAAATTTCGCCAATGAATCGCACTTTGTTGCCAATCAAACCGAAGGTAAAATGGCCTCGTTTCGGAATATATATTTCTAATGATGAGCCAAAATAGAATGCTTTGATTGCTGACGCGTGCACAGAGATCTGCCTCATTAAAACAACACCTGTGGGGCAGTGCCACTCGAATTGCAGGTCATAAGCCCACGTGGCGTATACGCTATTTGACTCTGGGTTAGAGCAAACACAGAACGGTTGAACAGTTGAAGTGAGCTACATTTTTGCCATCATAATTTCATGGAAAATCTCTCTGTACCGAGAAGAGCCCTCATTTTAGCCGGAACATTGATTGAACAAATGTTTACATCGAAAGTTAATTAATTAATTTAAAGCATCTGACAATGGCCCATGACAGCCGGGAAGTGACAGGAAGTGGCCGGGAATTGCCATTCAATATGCTAATCGAATGCCGCACGAGCTTTAATTAACCATGAAAAGCATTTTCACGGCCTGCCTTTGGTTTTCCCGGGAAATGTGCGTGGCCTTTAATTACGGGTTGCCCAATTTAATGTATGGATAAACCCATTAAGGGTGGCGTAAATCTTATTTGCCAATACAATCCTGGACCAACTGAGTGGGATGTGCTGAGTAATTCGATGCGGAAGCGAAGCCAACGTCCTTCGGCCGCATTCGTTTGCCCACCATTGATTGATGGTCGAACTGCTTGCTGGGGAAAAGGCTATTTATAATATGTTTATTATTTATCATGCATGCTAATGCCAAGATATATAAACACACATCCCTCTTTATTGGTCCTGCCTGTTTGCTTATGAAATTTGATTGAAACTAATGGACGCCGTCGCCGAATGGCGAGTGGCATCCGCAAATGTCACCCAAAGGACACGTAAAAGCCATTCAAATATGAAAGATAACTCAAGTCAAGGTTTCCAGGCATTTAATTCGGAGGAAAGCAGATAATAGGGATAAGGGACTTTTCGTTTCAGAGTTTCATAACCAGTTTTAAGTCCTTAAAGCGCATTGCAAAGCCCCAACTAAATAAGCTTATTTCTTATGCTCACGCGCCATGAAAATTCCATTTGAAGGCATATCAATTGTCAGCCCCGCTTAAGCTCAAGCACTTTGAGTCGATTTATCATTTATAGAAAATTTCCCTTCTAAGTCAGGAGTTTTCCCCCTCACTTCCCCTTAAAAGAGGTCATCTTGAGTCGGCTAAAATGTCAAGTGACACTCGCGCAGTCAGCCAAAAGTTTTGACAGCGAAATTCAAGTGCAAACACACCAGCCGACAAAATAAACAAAAGCGGAGCAACTAAAATTTAATATTGGGGCTATTCTAATGAAAGATCAACAAACAAGCAGTTAAAGTTTGTTTTTTCTGGGGTGAAGCTATTATTATTATACCAAAATTAGTTCACTCGGAAATAGTTTGAAAATAATTGTTTCTGTTCTGGTTGGCAAAAGTTTTTTATTAAATTTACTTAGCCTAACTAGCCTTTATCATTATTTAATTGATTCTGCACACTAGTTTTTTGCCTTGCCCTTTTTCAGCTATTTAGTCAATTAGTGCTAATTGAATTAAATGCGTAAAATACCTGGCTAATTGAGTTAAATTGTACGGCTCAGGATTTCTATATCTCAAAACTCTATTCATTGAGGTTTTCATATTCATGGCTGAAATATTAATCGCGTTATACCAGACATCGCTTGGCGGATTTATTTGCCCGCGAATTGTTGTCATGGCGACTATTTCAGCTGCGGTCTGTCTTATACCCCTTACGAAATTGGGTATATTGGGACTTTGTAACAAGTTTTACTTATATTTCCCCAAATCGAACTGGTTAAAGGAATTCGGAGAGGGTAGTACGTAGCCCAGCCAATGAATATTGTTATTTGCTTTTATTCATGTCATACAGAATGCGGGTGTATTGCCAATTAAAAATCTCGTAAAGTGTAAGAACAACACGAAATGCTTAAAGGCCAGGCAAATAAATTGAATTTCATACAATCTTAAAGGGAAATGTAAAAGGTAAACAGCTCCGCTCAAGAGCAGGAAAACAGTTCCCTTTTTTGTCGGCTCTGCAAATAAGAGGGGTCTTATTTGGGAAACGGAATCTCTTCACAAAAAAGACCTCAACCCTTTTGTATGCTAATACAGTGAGCAGACTGAAAAAGGTCAGATGTTTGCCTTTGTTTCGAGGAGCGCGGTTTTTGCTTTGAGGCAGCGCCCGCGTTAAAAAGAGGCTCAATTAAAAATGGCTTAGTGTTTCTGGAAAGCAGAGCAGCCTCCAGAGGGCCTATCGCTTTCACATATGCGACATCTGCCTAATTTCCATCGAATCCCCTCCATATATTTTAACGCTGAGGTGTCACGTAAGCCCACAGCTTTCGGGGGGTCAGAAGATTGATGTCTGGGCCTTGTTCCACATAATTTACTTGCTCGATTTATTGCTGACAAACGGCTTCACGCTAATGCGAATGCTTTGCCGACTTATGTCCTAATTATTTTGGCCTCAATATGTGTCTGCTGAAATTCCCCTGAAATCCCTCAAAGTCGGAAGTTCGACTTCTGTTTGTCGGCTTTAAGTCCTCGATATTCGGAAAGCTGTTTATAGTTTACACTTGGCAGAGTTCTCTTATTGCAGCCAGTCATTTGTAAGTCCCCAAATGACCATTAAGCGCTGGTACTTATGGCCTGTCCCTGGGGATTTAAATTCTGGTACAGATATGACTTCTTGAGGATAACAAATTTGATGTTCCAATTAAAGTTCCTCTTGAATAGGCCTCAGGAATTTCGTTGCCAAATTGTTTTCATCATTTAATATTCATTAAGATGCTTACATCTTTTATGGCATCTCCCCGGAGCGTGAATTAACTTCATTTGAATGCTAATTTTCTAATTGAATGTATATGGACACGTATCCATGAGCGAGTATGAAGAGCTTTAAGCGAGCACACGCACATAAATCTACATAAATTTCCAACTGACTTTCATCTCGATCCTTTCCCTGCCCCGACCACGCTGCGTATACGCAATAAAGCGAGTGACAAACTGGCTGCCGTTCTCGTCAAGCGTCAAGTTGCCCAAAAAGTCTGTTTACTTTAGGGCCTTTTAAATATATAGCAGCCATGCCCACTTGTCATATGCTATAAATCAAGTGAGAGTCCAGAAAGTCTGCGAAAGGCAGGAAAAGTCCTTGGGCCCCAAAGTTGTCTCAAATCTGTCAATATTTTTCGTGAGTAAGAGGAGAAGTTATAAAGCTGCTTTAAAATTTAACATTTAATTTAATCCGAGGAGCTCAATCTTCTGAGCTTGACACACAGAAGTTTTAGATTACCATTGTGGTGGGGAAACTTGGCTCGATGCATGCTCCGAAAAGTTGGACATCCTTTGTTACACTTCCTGTTTCCTGTTGTTTCTGCGGCAAGGCAGCGGCGGTTGTCAAAACTTTGCATCTTTCCAGGGCTTTCACTTCCATCAAACATGCATGTGGCTATATATATACTCGATTATACACGAGTCCAAGTTCGATGGCCACCAATGGCAGCACGCCAGTCAAAGTGTCCAAAGTTGCGGGCGCTGAGAGCGACAGGAATTTCATTTGATTTCCCTTATGCTTTAATTGAATTTTCACTTAAGCAGTCAAGACGCTTGGCAAATATTGCCACTGCCCGCCGCACTCAAGCGCTAATGGAAAACTCATTATCCATGGAATCGAGAGTCAGGGAGTCGGGGGGTCGGGGAAAGGAGCCATCTTAGCAATTAGATAGAAAGCGTGCGCGTTTCAGCCTCGTGAAAGTGAGCTTATTGTCAATTGTGTGGGCGCTGCAAGGACCTGGTAGCTGCGAACCGGGATCTGGGATCTAGGATTGTGGTGCACAAAGTATATCCCTTAAGTGCCACATAATGGCAACTTTAAAGAGCCAACTGCTGGCTGTTGATAAAGCCGAAAGTAATTCCAGGGATTTGCAACGCGAGTGCTGCATTTGTTTCAGCCATTAATTCCTCGAATGCAACAAACCAGAGGTATAAGCTTACGAATATATATATATTTTGTTTTTGCCTAACAGAAATATGCTGTTTTAGAGTCTGTTGTTTTATTTTACAAATTCGCTTTAATCCACAAAACCCTATACAAGAGTAATTACACCTGCATTCCATGGCTTCTAAATCAATTTCATGCTGGGCGTGGAAATGCCTTTGTGAAAGGCAGAAAAAGGCTGCCAAGCGTAAAGATTGCAATTACATGACTGCAACAAAATATTTGCCAAAAATTTAGGTTTAATAAAAACACAAATTTAAAACGAAAACCATTTAAACTGTTAATCATTTATGTTTGCACAGGAATTTACTGGGAAATTTGATACATATATAAGTGATTTTATCCTGCATTCCTCCACTTAGAAATCCATTAAGTTGGTTTTTTCTAACTTTGTGGCCCTGACCAAAGTCCAGATATTTTTGGTTTGTGGGGGGGTTTCGAGGGGCATGTCATAGAAATGTGCGGAATCTCGCTGCCTGTGGCAATGTCAATATTTGGGCGACTTTTCACAAAAGTAATAACAGTTCTGCTGACTCTTTATGTGGGAGTTACCATAGCGTCCATGTGTACATACCTTTTGACCCTGTCTACTCATGTCCTGTTAAAAAAGAAAGAAAACAAACAAAAAGCTGAACAAAAATTTGGTTGCTTTTTAAAGTACTTTAAAAAGTTATAATACTTAAATGTGTTAATCTTAAAGTACTTTAAATAGCTAAAAATTTAAAAGCTGACTATAAATTTTACAAAAAATATCTGAATTTTTGGAAGATCTTGAAAAAAGTTTTTATAAACCACTTTCCTTCTTTATGATATCAATGTTTTATTAATATATAAATATTTTGTGGATTGAAATAATAAAGCTAAGGTAATAAATCAAGCCAAGAGATATTTAAAATCATATTTAAAATAAAATGATTGATTTTTTCCCAGTGTGACAGTAGCAGTTGCACATTACAGCCAGGAAGCTGGACAACAGTTTGCGGATTGTGTGGCTTCTCCAGCAGAGACTCGACTCTTTGTCATCGACGGCTGGCGGGCAGCAGGAGCAGCTCAGTCAGCTCAGTCCCTAAACCAATTCATCCGCTCGAAGGCAGCGGACCGGTGTCATGTGTCCCTGCAACTTCACCTGGGGGCTTAATTAACAGGGCCAATTTCGCCCGGTGATTAAGTGCCATTTAATGAAGCTTCTGTTTTGGCCCGATGACGTCTGTCGTCCGTCGTCCTTTGCAGGACCTGTGTCAGCCGAACGTAATGGATTGCAGTGGATGTAACTTTGTTTTGCCATCCGGAGGTTTTTTAATTAGGGCTTTAAAGCATAATTTGAATATTATTAGACGGCAACTAAAACCACTTAGCCCGCGTTAAATCTCTCTGACCCTTTACGGGTCTGTCAGCTATTTTTCCAAAAGCTAATTAAGTCTTAAAATCTCATTTTTTCCCTTGGCCTCTTGTTGTTTTAGGGTTATTCTGACCGCCGGCTCTCCGGCCGGCTGAAGCTTAAGCATTTGAATAATTATTTCAAAATGTCTGACAAGGGGTAAGGTCATCTGCTCCATTGACTGAGTAGTTTGGCCTGACAAAGCACTCGAGCTTAAACTGAGCTCACATCCTGTTGCCATTGTGAAGCTCTGGGATTTACTCAAGGGGTACAGGAAAACTTCAATAACTTAACCTTTTTGTGCCACTTTGGAGAGCTAGCGTTTTGACCTTACTCCTTTACTATTAGTTTCCTTTGATTTTGAATGTTCAACTAAATTTAAATAAATAAAAATCATTTCAATTTTTCATATACCAATTTTACGTCGGTTAATAATTCTTAAAACTCTCAGTACCATGTATAAAAATCGTTTTAAGAAATATTTTCATAAAATTCCCAAGATTTCGTTCGTATTATAGAAATTGTACTTTCCTTTATAGTTGGTATTGTTTGGATTCAGATTCAAGGACCTTTATCACTCTCTGAAATCTGGTTGCATCCCCTGTTTACATTCAGTTGCTTCATTTCCGAGAAGCAAATGTGTGAACTTAGCTTTAGGTGGAAAAAGGGTTATTGCCAAAGCCTGGTATGCTTCCTGAAAATCGTATTTCCTTTTATTCTGCCATCTCGGGTCAAACAATTTGTAAAAATATCTGAACTCTTGCTTAAATCTCAGCCGGGTATTGGGTACGGGATATTGGGGACACGAAACACGTAACGTTGGCTTAGTGATGAGATGCACTTGCATCACTGCAATGGGCTGGACTGGAATCCAAGGTTATAATTGGTATTCGGGCCAGTTGTTCTCCATTTGACTGCTCCGAAGGGTGGCCTAGTTGGAATGTTATTTTCATATTTAGATAATTCAAAATGGGAACTAGGGGAAGGGTGCATTTACCTGTTCGGGACTGCTGCTCCTCCTCCTCGGTGATGGTGGAGAAGTTGGTCAGCCGCTGCGAGGTTATCAGCGGACTGGCTGCACCGAGCATACGTCGCCGCTTCCCATTTCCGCTTCCGGTCTCCAGCTGCTGCAGCAAACTATTATGCTGCTGACGCGCTGGCTGCGAATGCTGCTGCGATTTGGCTAGCTTCTCGGCCGCTGTGAAGACCACAATAGGCTTGGGTTTGGAAAAGGAGGCACACGGTGTTCAAGGGGGGAGGGCAGGTAAGCATACTTGGGAGTGGCACAACACATTCACCGAATACCTACCGATGCCGCCGAGTTCGCCTGTTGCAGCTCCGCTCGCTGGGAGCGGAATGTCTGGTACTGCGAGATGACGCACAGCAGACAGTAGAGCTGAAAATGCAAGTGATGTGTATGGATAAGTAACTATCTATTCGACACTCTTAAACAATGGGTCTTTAAACATGATTCCTCGGACTAAAATCAAAAATAATAATACTAATCATAGTTTTCGATTTTTAACAAAACTTGAAACTGGCAAGATTAATATTTTAATAGAACATTTGGAAGAAATACATTTTCCAAATAAAATACAATAATAGATGTTTATGCTTCCAATATTTTGTTATTAAAATATTCTTAACTTATGCTTAAGCGAAAATAATAAATGTTTAAAGTCATTTGTAATTGGATGCTATAAACACAAAATTAGCATATAAATTTAAAAACCTGTTTTCATTTTAATAACCAATTTGACGTAAAATGGATCCTTTTAATAAAAATTTTAGTTATCTTAAAAATACTAGGCAAATCAAAACTGGAGGCCATGGTGTTAAACACAAAATTAGCATATAAATTACAAATGCAGTGGGAAGTTGCCAATAAACCCGTAGATATGATTGCTTTTTCAAGCGTTGGGAACTCACATTGAGGCACAGAAGGAAGAAGTCCATGGTGAAGATGAAACCGACAATCGGATCGAATTTGACGCGGCGGGAGAGGGACAGGTGCACCAGGTGGCAGACCTCGATGAGCAGGTCGCCCAGCATGAAGCAAATCCAGGGTATCAACAGATGGCGCTTGCTCTGCAAATTCAGCCGGAATGGAGGTGGTGCCGGTAATTGAGGTGGACAAAGGACGCCCCAACGCACTCACCTGCTGGAGACCCAATATCAACAGGACCGAGGACAGGACCATCAGTATCGAGCAAAAGAGTAACAAAACGTTGAATATCACAGTCACTGCAAAAGGCATAAATCACACGTAATTGAGTCGCATGCAGGGAACCCAAGGATGGGATGGCTAGAGTATCCTTCGGTACTACAGCATCCTTCGAGCGTCCTCACCTACAGTCACATCGCCCTTCTCCAGCAGGCTCTCGCCCATCGGCTGAGCCCGGTTCCCCAGCAGAAAGTCCTGCTCCTCGAACAGGTAGAACAAAAACATCAGCGTCGAGAAGCCAAAGTAAACCTGTGTGGGAAAAAATACAAGAAACATTTAAGGGGGTGCACAGAAATTACGGCACACATTTGTTATGCGGAGGAAAAGCCCCGAAAGTAGACCCCCGCCTTCCCCGAAAATCCCCTTCAAGTGACAATTGAGTGCCGTAATTGTTTAGGCAGCATGCAACTCGACTCGGTAATATGTTTGCTAAGGTATTTCCATCATTATAGCTGTGAATCATTCTAATTTAGGGCTTTTTGACAGCCTTTAATTAAGAAAACGTAATATAACAAGCTCTTTAATGGGACAGGGAATTATTGCGTGACATTAAGCTCGAAATTCATTGTGAAGAAAAAGTCGAAAATACTGAGTTTGGCTGAAAGTTAATTTTAACTCTGAAATAATAATAATTTATAAAATAAATATTGATTTTCCACTAAATAAATAAATAAGAATACATTTTTAAATTGTTTTGAAATGATAATTTTTTGATTTTTTAGTTTTCTATTTTGTCTCAAGGACACTTTTGATGGAAGTTGCCAAAGTCAAGTTCAAGGGTTATTACCACCTTACTGAATTAATTGTTAAGAGCAGCTTTTTAATCCCACATATTATATCTAGGTGCCCTTCTGGGTATTAAAAAAGTAAGTTTCGACTGCTTGTGCTTAAAAAGTTTCGAATGGCCAAAAAACTTTGCTCAACTGTTTGCCGTTTGGCTGAAAAAGTTCGAGGGAATTTTGATATATTTGCCTGGCTTCAGGCCACATCTTATCTTCGGGAATTATTCATATACCTCGTATAACCTACCAACGTGTAGATGGCGCAGGCAAAGCTGCCGCTACGCACATCCTTCCAAAAGCAACAAGACTCCAGGATGGCCATCTTTCAGTAGCTCACGCCTCCCAGATGAACATTCCAAGCACGCTGACACAAAAAGGATTTTATATATATATTTCTTGATTTTTTGGGGGAACGGCAGCCGCCACTTTCACTTGACTTTCTACACTTCCACCCGCGGGTATTCCACTTTATCTCTCGTTTCCCGCCAAACGGTTAATTTGCTTGCCTTAGTTGTTTTTCTTTAGCCAAGTTTTTATTTGGCACTCGGCGGATAAATATCTAGGATATTTTGTGGCTGGCTGCGGGACACTGACACATAATTCCGTACACGAGACGCGCAGATTTATGACACTGATTTATGTGGCATGACCGGGCATATTTATGTGGACCGAAGTGTGGGCTCCGAGGACGAGGGACTCCGACTCCGAGTAGAACCGCCGTCATTGAAAGTCGCACCGAGACTGGCTTAGCGCCTCATCGAAGGCAACCGCATTGGTTTCAATTTCGAAAGGTTCGCACACATTTTATGAATGAAAGTTCGAAAGTGGCTGTGGGGTTTGGAGTTGCGGGGGTTCCACGCATGCGCCATCTGGAGGAAAACAACAGCAACAGGCAGTTTAAGGATTCCTTGCATCCTGAAACCTGCGGCTGGCCGAATTTTCATGCAATTAGCCACAAACTGTGTTGGCTTTGCCAATACCACAAATTACTGCTGCGGATTAGTTCTCGATTGGATTTGCGTAAGCCTTTAATTAACGTGGAAAGTGCTCGGCGGGCGGCCTCTGAGACGAGACAAGCCAACAAACCAACCGCAGTGGCGGAATGATGGCGACGTGCAGTCGGAGGATGGAGTCCAATGACAATGCCCATTTCGTGCTCCAGTTGCTGCCACCGAATCGGAAATGAAGGCGAAAGTAGCCAAGGCACTGGGATGGAAAAGCATCGAGTCATCATGGTAAGAGAATAGCAGGAATTTAACAAGTCAGAGCTGATTAAATGGTCTAAAAAGGGATTAATGTTTGAGCCATGATGGTGATGATTTGCTATGGTTTTCGATTCTTAAATACTTTGAGAAGCTACAAAAAGCAAATGTGTCAATAAGTATTTAAGCTTACAGATCAAAGTATCTTTTTTTTAAGGTTTAATTATTTCTAAAATTATTAAGAAGTTAAATTAGATTTAAGTCCTTGATATATGTCTTATACAGCTTTACAATTTTTTTGCAAAATTGCAGAAAATTACTATATTGGCAAAAAAGAAAAAAATCAAGTGTTTCTCGAGATTAATGTCATTCCAGCTGCCTAATAATGAAAAGTAATGTCTTTATATATTTTTCAAAATTCTTAGCTTTTGTGCAATATTTTTTCTAAGTTTATTTTATTAGTAAACTGTACATTTAACAATTCAAATTTATAGTTTTTTATAACTCGCTCTTTTTACAGAAATTTCTTTAGTCAGGGAGCCAAGATTTATTAGTCATACTTCTGTTTTAATATGGCGAATGACGAAAATCGAAATGGTTCGTTTGAGGATAATGACAGGCGTAAGAGTGGACGAAAGGAGCAGGGAATACAGTCAGAGCCTAAAAAGAAGTAAGAAATAGTGATATAACCAAGAAACTGCAATACATTTCTGAATTCAAACAGAAAGTATTACGCGGAGCCTGAGAAGGTGGACACAGGAGTGCAAGTGAATGAATCGATTGATCAGTTTAAAGTAAGATATCTCGACGACGATGAAGAAAGTTCGCATATCTCGACGTGGGAAAGGCCAAGATCGGAAACTTCATTACCGCGAAGATCCTGGGAGACGGAGGACTATTTAGATTTCGATGACCTGCTGCCGTTGATCGGCCAATTCGGCCGATACCAGTGGACGCTGTTCCTGTTCATGATCCCCTTCTGCTTCATCACCGCCTTTGTGTATCTGGGCCAGATATTCATATCCCTAACTCCACACAAATACTACTGTTTGGTGCCCGAACTCGAGAACAATCCGAGTGTAGAGCAGCGCAAGCAGTTGTCCATTCCGCGGGAGAAGGATGGCTCCTACAGTCGCTGCCGGATGTACGACACCAACTACACAAGGATCCACTTTGCGGAGGATCAGAGCGTCTATATCAACACCTCGCTGCCCACGATTCCCTGCCAGAAGGGCTATGTCTTCGAGCAGGACGGCAGGTCCTTCGAATCGGCCACCATGGAGTTCGGCTGGCTGTGCGAGAACGACAAGTACTCCACCTACGCCCAGGTCATCTTCTTCCTCGGCTCGATTCTGGGCGGTCTGTGCTACGGACACTTTGCAGATCACTGTGGTCGGGTGGCCGCCTTGGTCAGCAGCTGCTTCCTCGCCCTGGTCGGCAGTCTGGCCACTTCGCTGTCCACGAACTTCTTCGCCTTTGCCATTTCGAGATTCATAGTTGGGGCCTCTTACGACACCTGCTTTACGATGGTGTATATTTTGGGTAAGGAAATAAAAATATTAATAAACTAAATTTGAAAAAATATATATTTCATACTTATTTTATTTCAATAATATTATTTATTTTAGCTAATTGTGAATAAACATTTATTTCAAGATAATAATCGCAAAAACAAACAATTTTTGAACTTAGGAAAATTTGCTGACTTTTTTTCTTTATTATTATGTTACTTTTTTCCCTAAAAAATTAAACAATTTCATTCAAAAATGTAAAATAAACTTATTTGTTGTTTTTTGTTGGTTATGTTACACACAAAAAAAAGTATGTCGTCAATATGTGCATGTAAATTTCTGTTTATGCAAAACCCATATCGTTTTTACATGAAAAACTCATTTCAATATGGTCGAATTTACCTGGCCCCATATCAAGTTAAAATTGATATTACATAATGTAAAATTGATCTACGTTTCATATCGATTTTTTTTTAGGTGTAGAACATTTTTGTTTTTTTGTTTTATAATAGGTTTTCTTTAATATACTTTTTTTATATTGATTAAAACCACCTCTGTAATTTGCAGTTCTCGAGTATGTGGGTCCCAAGTACCGCACCCTGGTGGCCAACTTGTCGCTGGCCCTGTTCTATTGCCCATTCACGATGCTGATGCCCTGGATAGCCCTTGCGGCAGGAAACTGGAGGAGGTTCTCCGCATTGGCATCCCTGCCCATTATTCTCTCAATGCTTTCCTTCTTTGTGCTGCCCGAATCTGCACGGTAGGTAATTCCTTTAGCAAAAAAATTATCCCATTTATCCAGGAATTTTTCTCTTTTCTTATCAGCTGGCTGGTGTCGGTTGGTGAAATCGACAATGCGATGGAGATATTGAGACGGATGATCTTTGTGAATAAGAAGTTTGTGTCGCACCAAGTATTAGCCATTTTCGAGACGAGCTGCACTCAGTTCTACAAGGAGGAGCTCTACGGGCGCGACTTTACAGTGTGTTCGATATTCAAGCGGAGGCGAATGGCGCGCTATATGATCCTGCTGATCCTGATTTGGATGGCCATGTCCCTGGTCTACGACGGACATGTGCGGGCGGCTAGTGTCCTGGATACTGAGGATATCTTTGTGTTCTTCACCATCGCCTGTGCCACTGAGTTGCCGGGCAATATCCTGGTCATTCTCACCTTGGATCGCTGTGGACGTCGCTGGTGCTCCTTTGCCTACACCTCGTTAAGTGGAGTCTTCAGCTTGGTGGGCGCGTGGTTGAAGAGTCCCATGCATATGAGGATATCAGCGCTGGCCGGGAGATTCTTCGCCAACATGTGCTATAACATCGGGCTGCAGTGGGCAGCTGAGATCCTGCCCACGGTGGTGAGGGCTCAAGGGGTGGCCTTTATCCACACAATGGGCTTTGTCGCGATGCTGATGTCCCCGCCGGTGGTTTACCTCGCCCAAGTGTCCTTCTCCCTAATGCTAATCGTTTTGGGAGCCCTGGGAATTTTCGGCGGACTTTTGGCCCTCTTTTTGCCCGAAACTCTAAACCACGATCTTCCGCAAACCCTCAGCGATGGAGCGGAATTCGGAAAGAAGCAGAGGATATGGCATATGCCCTGCTGTGGCCCCGGATCAAGGAAATCCCATCCCCGGCACACGTGGCACCAGGGCTCCAGCTTGAGGACCTTGTCGAAGGAGGAGTTCCGCTCCAGCCGGATGTATCGCAAGTCGAAATATGCGCCCCAGGATCCTAGTCCATCGCCCAGCGATTATAAGGACATCGAGGAGAGGGAAATTCATACGCATAAATACGGAAACAGATGAGAATATAAGGTCTGATTTCTAAGAAACTTGCTAAGCGGGAGTTTTCTTGAGAACATTTTTAAAGTTAACAAATAATATATGTACATTGTACAACTTTTACATCTCACTAAGTAACAAATGAAAATACTTTTTCTACTTAAACACAACTTTTCTTAGGGGAAGCTTCTATTTCCGGGAACATTCGTTCTGTGGAACCTTGTTAATTAATTAACAGTGTGCCAACTTTCGTGCCGAATGCTTTAGTTACGGGGTAAATTCTGGGAACATTTACTTCTGGGCAAGAAATTTACTCATTCGCTTTTGGCAGTTGTACCAGGAAGACCTTTTTCCAATGCTCGGCAGGATTGCTTTTTTCGTGAGTGTGGTATATGTGGTTCTTAATACATTGTTACTACGCTGGGCTGCTGAGGAGCTAGCATTAATATTTTTTGACGACGAGGAGCACTTTAATGAAACGTTGGCCGAACTACTGAAGCCTCGATATGTGGGCAGTCCTGGACATTCCGAGGTTCGTGACTTTATCGAGAAGGAACTGGAGCGTATGGGCTTCTCTATTCTGCGGAATGACTTCTACGAGGGAGCTAATTTCACCAATTTGGCAGGCTTTTGGAATATGGAGGCAGAGCAATTTATGTTGCTAACCTGTCACTATGACAGCAAAGAGCCAAAGGATTGGGACAAGGATGATTTCCTCTCGGCCACCGAAGGCGCTGTTTCTTGTGCCATTCTTTTAAATATTGCAAAAACTTTAGGTTTCTTTTTAACAGAGCAGCTGAACAAAAAAAGTGGCATGGGTTTGGTTGTAGGTAGATATGAGAACGCGTTTAAACTTCACAATTAAGGAAAAGTTTTTCAAAGCTTATCTTCTTCGATGGCCATAATTCTTTGACGGATAACGATGATGAAAATGGACTCATTGGTTCAAGGCGCTTTATGGAAGATGATATTATACCTGTGGAGAACATGGTAAGTATATAAGGGAAATGGGAAATTTCATAAAAATATTGTAATTACTAGTAATGGTTTTTTACAGGCTGTTGTGCTAACCCTTGGCTATATTGGTGCTCCGAATCAAACTTACTTGAACTACTTTGAAGCTACCGAGGATCTACACAATCTGGTTGCTGATATAGAACTTGAGCTTCGAGAATCTGGACAACTGACCGACTGCCATTTGTTGTTCCAGAAGAAGAAACAATATGAAAATGATCTGCTTGACGATCATATTATATTTCATGAAATGGGTATTATACTTATTTTTCATTATTTTAAAGATATTAATATTTAAATAATGCCCAGGTGTGCCAGTAATGCATGTGGCTCCACAAGAATTGCGAAAGGTCCTTTATAAGGCAGCTGATACTGCAGACAGCTTACACTATCCTACCATTCGTAATACGATAAAAATAATTCGCAGATTCGTGCATGATTTTTTGGAACAATGGGACTCCTACACGGCTATTAAGGATAATTTTGTTTCTTATCCTGATTTAGATTATAATTAAACCATGGTATTTATTTTTAAAAAATGTTTTTGCTTTAGTTTTTATAAAACTTTGTTTCAAAAAATAAGGTAGGGGTTATAAAAACAGATTTTTCTTTTAAAGTCCTTTGTAAATCTTTTTATTTTTATAAGCCTAGGTAGGTGCAAAATATAAAAACTTTTAAAAAATGAATGTTAACTTAAACAAATTCAAATTAAATTAAATTAAATCTTTTAAGTTAAGTAATTTTGTTGACTTGTTTCTAGGGTTAAGACTAGCTTAATCACTACTAGTCATTAGGGCATTGCAATTAAGTTAATTATTATTATCAGATCGCTGCGATAACAGCGCACTTTTCCCCAACAACCGTTGGCTTGAAAGCTGTTCTGTGCGAGATCTCTCGCAACATGAAACCGACTCTTTGAAAAACTCTCTCGAAACCAAGGCCCAAAGCTTTCGAAATGATATTGCCCGCCAAAGAGACAACGGAAAACGAAAACAAAAGCCACCAGCATCGTAATCACAACAAAAACTACGGTAATCATCGATTTTTCAGGCGTCGATCGCGCTTTAGTGCGTCGCCAAGCTCCGAAGCGTAAAGATGGGGATCGGTTCCGTGATTTTTTCCGCCGCCGGCCTGCTGCTCCTCCTCTTCCCGCCCTCCCAGCAACAAGCTCCATCGGGGAACGTAAGTCCCACCCGCTTAAAAACAATCAAGACCATTGTGACTCACTTGGGAAATCACAGCAGATGAAGTGTCCAAGAATAAAACCCATCTATATTTTTTGAACCAAACATTTCAGATTGGATCCCAGTGGCGCGACGATGAGGGGCATTTCAATCGCACCCTGGACTCCATTTTGGTGCCACGCGTCGTCGGCAGTCGGGGACATCAGCAGGTGGGTGATAAAGTTTGGAACACAAATAATTTGGTAATATAAAATTAACATCACGCACAGGTGCGCGAGTATCTGGTACAATCGCTGAACGGCCTTGGCTTTCAAACGGAAGTGGATGAGTTCAAGCAGCGCGTTCCAGTTCTCGGCGAGCTTACGTTCGCCAATGTTGTGGGCACCATTAATCCGCAGGCCCAGAACTTCCTGGCTCTGGCCTGTCACTACGACAGCAAGTACTTCCCCAACGATCCGGGATTTGTGGGGGCCACCGATTCGGCGGTGCCCTGTGCAATTCTCCTCAACACCGCCAAGACCTTGAGCGGCTATCTGCAGAAAGAGTTTCGCAATCGCAACGACGTGGGACTTATGGTAAGTTGTTTTCATTATAAGAGACCTTGGTTGTCTAACAATTTTCCATGAGAAAACTAGTTATTTGTTTGGTATTTCCCTAAGAGAATATTGATACAAATTCTGAAGTTATAATAAAGTTCTTTCAATTCTCCAGCTCATTTTCTTCGATGGCGAGGAGGCCTTCAAGGAATGGACCGATGCCGATTCCGTCTATGGCTCAAAGCATCTGGCCTCGAAGTTGGCCAAAACACGCAGTGGCTCTCAGAGTGCCAGCCAAGTTCAACTGGGCCCACGCAATATAGATCGAATTGTGAGTCAATGACCTTTGTACGAATTATCAGCTCGCTAAAACTTAATCAATAACAGGAAGTGCTGGTGCTGCTGGATCTTATTGGGGCGCGGAATCCCAAGTTCTCTAGTTTCTATGAAAATACCCACGGACTGCACTCCAGTCTGGTGCAGATCGAGAAATCCCTGCGCTCTGCTGGTCAGCTGGAGGGCAACAACAATATGTTTTTAAGTCGTGCTAGCGGCGGTCTGGTCGATGACGATCATCGCCCGTTCTTGGATGAGAGTATGTTTGATCAGCTTTGGTTATATCCGTAATTACCAAGTGTTTTTCAGATGTTCCTGTGCTCCACTTGGTGGCCACTCCCTTTCCGGACGTTTGGCACACTCCGCGCGACAATGCCGCCAATCTGCACTGGCCATCCATTCGCAATTTCAACCGTGTTTTCCGTAATTTCGTTTACGAGTACTTGAAACGCCACACGTCACCAGTGGATTTACGTTACTACTGAGAATAGTTTTCGGTTTGTCTTATGTCTAAGATTTTTATTAAGCATAAGTGTAAAGTGTGTTTGTTTTCTGTTAATTAAAAAGGTCCTAAGGCTTGCGAAATCCCTTTTCTAGCGACGCTTGCGACCGGCCTGAGCCTTCTTGCCCGGAGCCCTTTGGCCGTGATTGCCCTTGGACTTCTTGCCCACCGCCTTGCGACTGCCCTTGCCCTTGGGCTTCTTGTTGCCCTTTTTCACCGGCTCATTTTCAGCCTCTGCCTCGCGTCTGTTGGGGAAAATAAAGGTATTACATGCACTGGATTTAAGATTAAACAGGGGCTTTACTCACGCCAGGCGGTTGTCTCGCTTCTCCATCGATATCGCCTTGCTGACGTCCAGCTTGGGCTTCTTGTTCAGCACGCTCTTGATGAGATCCAGGTTGGCCTCCTTCTCGGGCGTTTGTGTGATATGCGACTGCTTGCGCTTGCCGCCCGGAATCAGCTCCTTGATGCCCAGACCGCGTGCCTCCTTCTCCTTGGGCAGTTTGTTTTGGAATTTCCCCACCGAGGCTGTCGAAGATTTGGCCACAGTGACGGCAGTTAGCAGCTGGCTGGAGGAGGCAGCCTCGGGTCCCAGGTAACCGCTGCGCGGCATGTCCAGCTTCCTGGCACGCACAATGTTCTTCATGCGCTGGATCTCGTTCTTGGCCACCTTCTCGTTGCGCAGGTCGATCTTCTTCTGGAACATGTCCGTGTTGGGATCGGCATTCTGCGGCACCTCCAGCACCCAATCCTTGGCCTTCTCGGCCTCGGCGCGCTTGAAGCCATATGTGGGCACCCATTTCTATAAAAGAGATTTCAGGAATCAGACGGGATACTAGGATATTAAGGGTTAAGAAAGCTAAAACTTGCATCCATGGTCTCGTCGTAGGTCTTCTTCTCCTTCTTCTTCTTGCTGATGCCCTTCTCCTTGGCGAACTTCTCCCATTTGGTCATGGGCCGCGGACCAGGAGGTTTCCGCAGGCGAGGCAGTACAGTGGTGGGTTCCGGCAGCTTGGCCACAATGCTCTCGTCCACTCGCTCGGTGGGCAGCTCCCAGATGGCATTAACCAGCAGCTGGGCATTGTCGCGCGTCAGTGCGGTCAGGTACTCCTCCCTGTTGTCCCTGAAATTGATCGGAGTAAGTGAGAAATTGGTGATCCTCGCCAGATCCTCTTCGCTTACCTCAGTTCCCGGTCATCGAAGTCGTTGGGATCTGTGATCAGCAGGGTGCCGACGTCCAGGCGACATTCCAGATGCTTCTCTACTGTGATCGGCTTGTATTTGTCCAATTCCTTTTGGTGTTTCGCTAGAACTTCCTTGACAACATCCATTTTGTGGGAATAAACAGCAAGGCAAAATTCAATTTCAACTTTTACACGTGCTGCCTGGTGTGGCAGAATACCCTAAAATATACCAAACGAGAAAAGTGAACGCCTAGCGCAGACTCGAACCTTGGCTTCACAGTTATCGGACAATCGGCGGTAGATTTGAAAAATCGTGTAACTATCACTGATCAGCTTTTATTATTTGCTTCCTACAACTTAACGTCCAGCGCTTTTCCGCCTCCTCCAGCGTGTGTGGCAGCACAGTGTTCCTGGTCTCTGGGAGGACTACTATAACTACAGCTCCGATCAACGAAAGGAAGGCGATTATAAACATCGGCAGAGAGTGGTAAAAGTGGTGGGTGTAGATCACAATGGGGGATATCAGCGCACCAACCTGACCCATCACATTAATGACAGCCAATCCCTGGCCGCGTAGCACAGTAGGCAGGATTTCAGAGGCCCACTGTTGACCCACATTGTAGACGATACAGACGAAAAATCTGGCGCAGAGTGCCGCTATCGTTACGTTCCATTGTCCTTTCAGTAGACCAGCAAAGAGGCTACACGAAGCACAGAGGAGCATCGAGGCGATCATTGTGGGCTTGCGTCCAACTCGATCGAGCAGCAGAATTGGAACAATTCCAGCCGGCAATTCAACGAGCGAGGCGACGGTAAAGGTAATAAAGACATCGGTGTCTAATAAATCGACCACCCGCACATGAGCATCGTAAACCAAAGCGGCAATCATCCAGGTTATAATCAATATAATCATGACCACAGCCCTGCGAAGGGTCTTGAAAAGATCCAGGCAGGTGTATTGTTTGTTTGATTGCTCGTCGAGGAATTTCAGTTCAAAGCATTGCTGCATATCTGACCATTGCTCCTCGGAAATGGTTTTTCCATTGGTCTTAGCCGCCTCTTTTAGGACCTGTATTGCCCTCTTGATTTTCCCCACCGATACAAGCCAACTGGGATGAAAATACAAAGTTATATAGTATTCAGATACTTAATTATTAACTAACCTCGGTGACTCTGGCAGAAGCCAGCTCATCAGTATCATTAGTACCACAGGCAGTGTAATGGCCATGGTATAGTATCTCCAATTCCCACAAGCATAGGCCACCCAGGGAAGAGTACAGGCGCCCAAGGTGAAGAAAATCGTAAGGGGTAAGTTCCCAACCAGAGTACGATATTTGATACCAACGTTCTCCAGAGCTGTTTTAGAATAAAATTAAAATTTAAAATATTTCAACGAATTAAAAATTAAAATTGTTACAGTATATATTTTAAATTTATGTATAAAAATGTTCCAGAATTACCTAGAATAAAAAGAGCAATAAAGCAGGTGTTCAATGCCAGTCCCGCCACAAATCTACTGACAGCAAAGCAGTAAAAATCCTTGCACAACGCACTAATGCAACCGCCGACCATGGCGCAGATATTGGACAGGAACAAGGCCACCAAGCGACCCCAGTGATCGGTGACGTATCCGAAGAGAAGACATCCCACAATGGAGCCCATGAAGAAGGTGATTACGCTGTAGGTGCTGAGCTCCTTACTATCGCACACCCAATTGTACTCGATGGCTATGGACTCGTAGGGAATCGCCTCACGGTCGTAAATCCAACCGTTGTTGCATGGTATCTTCGTTCTAGTCACATTATCCGACTTATCTGATTCGAAGGGCACATCGTACATGAAACATGTCTCAAACTGGTCATCATTCTTTATGGGTATTCCCCTCTTTAGTTGCTCCTTCATGGGCAGATTCTCCAGTTCGGGAATCCTGCACCAGTGATGTTTGGGCATCAGAATCATGAATATCTGGCCAAAGTAGTTGAATGAAAGTATTAAGGCGGCGGGCATCATGCAAACTAGCAGTCGCTTCTGAAAGGCTCCAAACTCTCCGATAATCGGCAGGAAGTCCTCGTACTTTTCACAATCTCTGGGCGGCATTTTTATATTGAAGGCGGTAAATAACTTTTAAAACAAAGGTGAGTTTTCCGCCAATATATATCGATAGTTTCCAATAACTTCTTTATTGTCGTGAGGTATTTTTCCAGCCCTGCCTGTCCGGTCACACTAATCACTCAAAATATCGAATACTCGATAAACCCCGACAAGTGCCACCTCTAATTTGCGCGCGAATTCCTTTTAATAAATAATGGATGCAGATTTGCTGCCGCTGAGAAAGCGAATAACAAACACCTTCAAGCTATGTGGCTTCCTGATCCGCTCCGAGAACAGTTCCTACCTGGCGGAGCAGCTGCTGCCTTTCGAGGCCGCCGAACGGGACAAATGGCTGACGGTGATCACCGAGAATCTGCAGAGCCAGAAGCTCCTGACGCCGCATGTGGAGCGGGCTGCGCTGGAGAAGGCCATCAATGAGCTGAACCGCGTGGGCCTGGACGAAGGGGAGACGGTGTTCGCCCTAATCGACGCCTTCACTGTGCCCCGCTTTCGGTACAACCAGCGGGTCAAGAAGTTCGAACTGGACACGCAGCCTCGCCAGCTGCTCACAGCTCCCCGCATGAAATCGGACTACATGCAGCAGCGTTATGCCATGTTGCTGCAAAAGACCCTGCGCCACGACCTCTTTGCCCCTGCCGTCATCCAGGATGGCGTGGGCGCCGACGCCCAGGCCAAAAAATTCAAGCTCCAGTTCGCCGAGAACCTGCTGGCCACCTCATCGATCAAGGAGGCCGTCGTTCTGGGTCTGCTCACCCAGCTGAAGGAGGGCAAGTTCTATGTGGAGGATCCCACCGGCTGTGTGCAGTTGGATCTCACGGGCGCCCGTTTCCATGCCGGCTTCTTCTGCGAGGGCTGCTTTGTGCTGGCGGAGGGCAACTACAAGGATGGGGTACTCAAGGGTAGGTAAACGGAATATATAGAAATCGAATTATATAGAATTATAATGTATATCCCCCAGTTGATGGCCTGGGCTTTCCGCCCGCGGAACCTGCCACCAGCAGTCGCGCCTTCTTCGGCACCGCCAACTCCTGGGGCGGTGAGTCCGGCAAGCTGCTGAAGTATTCACCTAGACTCCAGGAACTGGAGCGCACCAACACGGAAACGACCATCGTTTTCCTTTCCGATGTCCGTTTGGATCTTCCTATTGTGATGGACAAGCTGCGCCAGCTGTTTGTGGGCTACGATTCCTGCCCGCCGCAGGCCATTGTGCTAATGGGTCCCTTTACGGCCAGCACAAGGAATCATCACGAGCTAAGGCATCATTTGGATGCATTGGGTGGCCTGGCCGCCGGCTGCGAGCAGCTGAAGAAGCAAACGGATCTGATACTCGTACCCTCGTCGGAAGATCCCACGGCACCGAATATCCTGCCGCGTGCTCCCATTCCCGAATGCCTGGCAGCGGGACTGCTGAAGGCCTGGCCGCGCACCCAGTTGGCCACGAATCCCTGCCGCCTGCAGTACTGCACACAGCAGATAGTCGTTTGCCGGCTGGATTTGATGGCCAAGTTTTGCCGGAATACCTTGCATTTTCCGGAGGATACTTCCCAGATTGAGCAGCATTTCGCCAGGACGATTGTGTGCCAGGGTCACTTGGTTCCCATCCATCCGATTGCCATGCCCGTGCACTGGGACTACGATCCCGCCCTGTGGCTGTATCCTCTGCCAGATCTGATTGTTATGGGAGACTCCTGTCAGAGTTTTAGCAGCAATCAACACGGATGCACTGTCCTTAATACCGGTTCCTTTGTCAAGTCCAAGTTCGCCTTTAAAGTGTACATACCCGCCACGCGAACGATTGAGGACTCGGAGATTCCCGACGATGTGGAGTAGTTAAGATAGCTATAGTTAACAAGAACGTAAGTTTAATAATTAATTTAATTTAAATGGTTGCCTGTTCTACTTATTTGGGAAGGAAATATGTTTTATATCTAATCGTTTTATATGAAATGTCGGAGGATACCTAAAAACTCATGAACTCTTAAACTCTTCTACTTGTTCGCAGGACTGTTGTTCCTTTAAATCTATTCTTTTTCAGGTTTGAACTTAAATCTTATGAAAACTTACAGCAAAACTTTAAAAACTAAACTATTTAAAAATGTGGTGGCTTAAAGATTTGGTAAAGGTTATTGAAACATTGAAAAATTTAATTTTTTTATAATTTAATTTATTTTTATATTTTTTTATACCCTTGCAGAGGGTATTATGATTTCAGTCAGAAGTTTGCAACGCAGTGAAGGAGACGTTTCCGACCCCATAAAGTATATATATTCTTGATCAGCATCACAAGACGAGTCGATCTAGCCATGTCCGTCTGTCCGTCTGTCCGTCCGTCTGTCCGTCTGTCCGTCTGTCCGTCTGTCTGTTTCTACGCAAACTAGTCTCTCAGTTTTTGAGCTATCAGGATGAAACTTTCCCAAAAGTCTTCTTTCTATTGCAGGTAGTATATATGTCGGAGCCGACCGGATCGGACAACTATATCTTATAGCTCCCATAGGAACAATCGGAAAAAAAAAAAACTTTAAAAAATTCTAGCTTCGGTGTTTTTTGAAATATTACCTTCTACTTTTGGGGATGTTATTTTTTAAATATATCTGAATTTCGAATAAATTATTTAAAAAATCGGACTACTATATCATATAGCTGCCATAGGAACGATCGGAAAATTAATGGAAAAGTAATAGGAAATAAATTCTAGCTTCTTTGGTTTTTATTGTATTATCTTCTACTCTAGGATATGACTCTTTTTAAATATTTTCGAATTTCAATTTTAATTTGATCAAAATCGGACGACTATATCATATAGCTGCCATAGGAACGATCGGAAAATTAATGAGAAATATTAGAAAATTGAACATTTTTGCGATTTGTTAATTAATAGGAATGATCTGCAAGGGTATATAAGCTTCGGCTGGCCGAAGCTAGCTTCCTTTCTTGTTTATAAATAATTTATGTATATTTTCTGGTAGGAAAACCCCCATCAATTGGAAGCCTACCGAATACTTTTGAAAATCCCAGCTACTTAACGACTTGAACATAAACATGTTTCGGGGACTTAGCATCCTCCGGCTTCACATGTTGCTTGGCCAGCCTGCTCCTCCCGGATTCTCATTCTCGCCGCCTGTGCGTGTGTGCCTGTTCCCTTGTGATAAGCGGCCCAGCCTCATCATCATCACCGCCGTCGTCGTCGTCAGTCATCATATGCGCACAGCATGTGTTCCACAATCGTCTCCTGGCTTCTCGGCTGACGCGCCTCGCAATCTGCTTTCTACGGCGACCGGGGGTTGTCTATTACTTTTCATGACTTAAAGCCGATTTGGAAAAATATTGTTACTCCGAACGATGCTGCTGCCCACTTGGAGAGAGAGAGAGGGTCGTGGAAATTCAATTTCCCAGGCTGGCGCGCTCTGCTCCTCGGCAGCTGAAACGGCAATTTTGATAATGCGTTTGACCTGAGGACATCGCTGGCCCCCATTTGCTATTTGCTGTCACATGACCAGTTGCCGAATCGTTTTTTAAGACATCATTAGCCGGGTCATTCGCAGAAGGGGGAGGTTTTTTCCCTTGCCTCGCAGGCTTTTCTTTTTCTCTCCTATTGATTTATGATTTATGAGTGCAACTGTGTGCCGCACGTCCCCGGGATCAATTTCCAAAATGTGTCCGCCATGAGTGTCAATTCGATTTGGGGGGCGTGGTCGGCCCAAAGTGCTAACTATATCTTTTTGCACCGTCCCCCTTGCAAACTTGAACATTTATATTTCCCCTGTTTTTTTGGTATATTTTTTATGCTGCCCTCCAGCTCTTCTAAGCAAAATATTTCCTCTGTGACAACAATCTTGCTTCTGCTTCATTTAACTGGTACACTGGCAACTTTTGAAATTTAAATATTGTTTTGCGGTTCCTCTGCAGCGCCAAGGCAATAACATAAAAAAACATTTTATCTGTTATGGTCATCGGTTTTTATGGTGTCCTCCCCGCAAAGTTGACACCATTTAATTTGGGGCTGAAGCTTAGCCCATCCTCGCAGACTCGGGACTCGATTAAAGCAATCGCTGATGCGGAATTCTGGAATCTGTGTCTTGGCCATCAATCACTCGACCAGCTGCGCCCCAAGTGGGCCGAGAGTCCAATCAAGGATCAAAGCAACTGGCCCTTGTAACCCACCTTTGGGTTATCCTTTCCCTCACACACACACATGGCAATCAAACGGCGATGCACTCATGTGCATGTCCTGCGGTTATTTGACAATTGTTAACCCATCTTTTGGCTTTGTTAGTCTGATTCCTCGGCGTGGCCAAGTGGCCATATGCCAGGCGTCCCTGGCAAATCCATCCAGTAATCCCCGCCTCGGTGGTGTGATTTTGATTTGGATAAACATCCTTGACTGGGGTGGCTTTAATCGTTCGCTGTCGATACCCTTTCGGGGGTATGAAAATATTCTTATTTCCAAAAAGAATTTATTTTGTAGTTTTTCAAGTCTAAAATTTTTACACTGTATTTCTATATAAAAAGGATTTTTCTATGTTTAAAAAAATTAGTTAACAGAATAAAGAATGGTGATAAACTATTGCCTCTTTTAAAATGTGAAGTCAATCCCAAATATCTTATTCTAAAAAAAAGTATTATATATTAAATATAATACTGCATTCATAAACTTAAATAAGGGTATAAAAAAAGTATTCTTTCTTATGTTATATGAATTTATAATACCATTTTAAAAACCCCTTCTAGGATATGAATACAGCAATATTTTTGGCGCATATGGTCAAAGGTTTCGCCCGGCGCTTTGAAACCACAACGTCAACTGGAAAATCAAAAGCTCGCCTTTGTTTATGAACGCATTCTTTTGTTCGCAGCCATTGATACTTGGAGGGTTTATTAACTTTTTACGGACTCGACAATGAGCTGTGCATCCTTATAGCTGCTGTCGGCATTCAAATTTTGATAGGGTTATCATCAACATTGTTTAGCAGAGTACCAGAGGCCACTAAACCGCTGGCGGAAGTGCACTTGAGGAGGGAGTAAATAAATCCGCTCCATAAACTCCACTGTGAATATGATGAGGACAACAATGTATCAACTTAAGCCCCGGACGAGCGGCGGTCTGGATTCCGGACGTGTGCCGACATTTACGCCTCAATTATCAGCCGCATAGCAAACACTTGGGGGTCACCACTTGCCATCATATAGAGGCGATAATTTGCTGCCCATAAGCTGCTCCCACACACACATGCTTGGACCACCCAGCGTGTCCAGCCATTCCATTCAATTCCAAGACCGAAAACCCAATCCCAAACCATCCAATTCAATCCAATCCCGGAGCAGCAAGTGACACGTGCCGCCCATTAATTTACGCGTTGGCTTTATCTGCGATTTGCTTGCGCATTCTCAGTCCGGGGATAACTCTCCTGACTTCAGAGGTCCTGCCACGTGCCAGAGTTGGCAAATCAAATGTTTTTATTATTTAAAGCGACAAACGGCGACGCCGTTTTATTGTCTTCCTTAAGCCGATAACAACAACTGTGTGTGAGAGTCGGTGGCAGGACAAATTACAAGGCAGCCGCATCCTGACCGCCATTGTCCTCTCGGAATGGATAACGAATTGCACCTTGGGGACACCGCTGGCTGTCGGTTGCTTCTTTTGTGTCTTAATGAAAGCAACTGGCATGTGATAAATTTTAATTGATTTCATTTACGTTTGTGTGGTTCTTGGCCCGGTCTCCTTGGCTCCCTGAATCCCTGGCTACCGATAAGGATCCGCGGCTAAGCGCGGCTCATTAGCCAAGGATAATGCATCTAGATAACACCGAGATGTTTGACATAATTGAATTTGGCTTCTTAAGCTCTTCTGCTAATGATCCTAATGATGTTTTTTCCGTCTAATGCCACTCAGTTGGCGGGGTTTAGCTTATAAACTATTGGCCATTGGGGATTTTAAAATTGTAATTTATTTTATTATTTTAATACATTTCTGAAAATTAGAATCATTTCCATAATAATATATTTTCCACAGTGGTCCGAATGGGAAAACTGTCCAAAATGTATTATTACCTTTAAATGATTAATTAAATTAATCATTGTTTAAGACCCGATTTCGTCCGCATGCTTAACTCCAAGTAGGCTTTTAATCCCAGGATTCCTTTTTAATATTTTAATCCTACTTTAAATGTAACACTCGGACGAAAAATAGGTGTTTAAGTTTGAGAGAGTAATATTGTTTTATTTTACTTACTTAGCGGTATTTATTTAAACTTAAAAGTTAATTCCAAACTACATTTGCAGAAGCTTTTCTAGAAATTTAAGGTTGCTTTTTGGAAAAGGTATTTTATTAGAAATAAAATTGTGTTCCCTTTCTAATCGCTTACTTTTCTTTTGCTGAGAACTATTTTCGGTTATACCTTTCAAATTGATTGCATTTAAATTAAAACTCAGCATAAATCACCTGAGTGGGCAGGACTCTCCAGTCGACTCGGCCTGAACTCACTGGCCGTTGGGCGTTAAGACAAAAGCCCCAATTCTGCAGCCGTGTCAGCACAATGGCACAGGCGACATAAGCCGATTTCAGGGATATCTCTGCCCGGCTCCAGTTCCCATTTCCCAGCCCCTCAAAAAATGGTTCGAAAATTATCATCAACGCACAAGTGGCTTGTACTTGTCACACACAGCAAGGCGATGGAGAAAACCAAACCCATTTCCCTCCCCCTGCGAACATGGCAAAATATTTTCATTGTGTTTCAGCAGATTTTCCGCACGAGAAGGGGGTTGGAAAAATGGGTAGCTGAAACTCGAAATGCGATTACCTGCGCTTGCCTATTTGTAGCTTGTTGTTCGGTCCTCCACTCCG